CATAAATAAATGAAAATTTCATTCAATTAACACAAGATAAATTCAGTAGACAATGAATTTATCTTTCATCAGAAGTTAATTAGATATTTTTAATTCATCCATCCAACAATCTACCTAAAGATGAAAGAGGAAAATGTTTTATTTTCCCCTTGGTCTTTAAATAATTTGAGCTTCTCAGGCGAACTGATAAAGCTTTTGTGCTCATTCAACCCGATAAAATTAAAAAAATGTAAACACATTGAGATAAAATCACGATAACGTAATTTATTATCTGTGCATTTTTTCTCTCCGCCTCTTCAACCATTCTCAACTGATTTAACGCTCATGAAAAGATATTTAATCTGCTTCAATGTTATTAAGAGCTTGGCCCATTCTCATTTCGTTTTTCCTTTCCGCTGTTAATGCGAGCAGCTTCTGTATTCTGGACTCGTGGGCTGTTTTCAACCCCTTAATTTTTTATAACACTGCGAAGCAATATAAATTAATTTTTATTGATGTCTGAAGTTCCAAGAGAAAATGTTTCCTCAACCAAATAACCATTTATTCCATCCTTCATTCATTCATTTATTCTCAAGATGAACGGTAAAAGTAGGCCTGATCATATCTCATAAAATTTTATCGATGAACAATAGCGTTAATTTTTGTTAATTATCAAATTAATCTTAATGTTTATCCTGGTCGAACGGAGAAACAAAAGGCATAAATGAGTGTTTTTAATGAGAGTTGGAAAAAATAAAGCGAAAATGTAAATTAATTGGCTTCGCTTTGCGCCTCGAACAAAACAAAAAATTTCTAGGGTCTGCTTTCAAAGAATCTTATCATAAATTCTTTGTCTATTTGTATGATTGCCGACCTTTTTTTATTTCATTTCATACGAACATATTAGAAAGCATAGAAATATAAAATGGACGAATTGTTCTGACGAATCCCGGATGATATGTATCCGAATTTAGTTTTAATTCAACTAATAAATAATTTCACAAATCTTTAAATTTCTCAATCAGAGAATAAAGAAAAATATTGGAATGTTTGTAAGGAAACCTTTGATAAAGCCTAATGTGTTCTGTCATTTTGAGGATACGCTTTCCCTCGTTATTGTTCCATACAATTCGTAATCCTATTCAATGCTTTCTCATTCATAATAACCAGAATTAACCAGCCCAAATCATAAACTTGGTATTTTCCTATACAAAATACTCGAAAAAATAAAATATGAAAAGCAATTTCATTGAATGGGCTTGGAGAAAATAAGAAGAGCCAAAAATGGGAAAACTTTTCTCGCTCTCAATTTCTTGTTAAAATTATGCGTCAGTACAACACACTTCATAAACATTCGAAGAAATGTTAGCATTATTTTAAAAGAAATCCAGATTTTCATATTGGATGTACCAGACCGTACATAATTGTGTGTTCATCAAATTTTATTTTAACAGCTTCTTGCTTACAGTGAAACAATTTCAAGCGACTAAGGGTGTGGATAATTATATCAAGACGGAACTTTTGTTATCAGAGCGGAAATGTGCTTAGAAATGTGAACGAATTACTTTCATTTTAGAGAAATTTCTTGTCTTGTGTTAAGTATTCCTTATAAATAAGATGAACAAAAGAACATCAGATCATTATCTCGCTTAAAAGAATATGCTTAGCTTTATAAATATTTAAGAAGACTAATTCATAAGTAGATATGATAATGAAGAACTCTTACTCGTGAATTAAGGATGTAAAAAATAAGTTGTCGAAAGATATTTAAGAGATGACCAAACACCTGAACTTCATTACGTTTGAAAAAGTCTTTTATCTGAGAACAAACAGAAATAAAAGTAATCAAGAGCATCTTGGGCCAGAAGAAAGGCCTTCTAGCTTAGAAACCATTAACAGTTCACTTTATAAAATGCTCCTTCGAGAGACGTCACAATATCTGACACATTTTTAATGGAACACAAGACTCATCATGTTGTCATGGTGAAAAACACAATTTTCTTATCATAAGTATCTAACTAGGGGCATGTTTTCTTTTTATCTTTCATTTTGTTTTCGTTATCCCATCACATTTTAGTTCTTCGTTTTTCATGCTATTATTTTTTCACACACAATTTAGTTTTCCTTATTGCGTTCAGAAAGAAAAGATATTTGGCAAAATTAATGATTTTAAATGGGAAAAGCATGTATCATAATGGAAGTTATTACTTGAGAAAGTCTTTACTTTAAATTCTCTGGTGGTAGATATTAGACCAGACTATATGGAAGAACCAACAACACATCACATATAACTTTGACATCTTTACGACGGATGAACTTTAATGAGTCACCATAAAAGTCGTCGACTCGAGAAAGCACCATGTTAATTTGTTAATTAGAGTACTAACAGCGAACGGTTGTGCCATAAATGATCCGCGACAAAATGTTCAATAAATTACTTATCTCAAATTATATGAGCTGTTTTATAATCCAAAGACTTCTTTTGTCATTTTCTTTGTACTTCTGTCTTTTATCATTTAAGATTATCTCCAGAATATTCATTTTATTTGGACATTTTCCTTTTCTTTATACTTGAAGACTTTTCGTGTTTTTTTTTCTTTTGCCATTTTCATGTTCTTTCCTTTAACAAGGCTAGAAGAAATTTTATCTCCTTCCTTTTTCCCATGTAAACTTTTCAAAGACCGTCACACAAATCCCCGCTACTTAAAGAACAATTTCCATTCCTTGTCACATCAAGTAAAGGCAAAAAATTTTATACATTTTTTTATGATTTCCATACTCTCGCTCTGACATTATAAAACCAATAAAAAAAAAAGAAATATACTTTTAAGGATCCAAAAGATGAACAATGAATAACATTGACAGTAAAATGATAATAAAAATATAATCTGTTCTAAGTTGATTTCCATCTAGGCGAAATGTGAGAAAAAGAAATAAATTATGAGTAGAAAAATGCAACATAAACTGAATATATCCTGATGATATACAATTGATCAAAAATATATTTCCTGTTTCTTAAACATTCTCCCCTTTCGTCTCCGTTAGATGGACCCGCCGTCGTATATGTCAACATTTTCGTTCGTAGTATATCGAAAATTGATGATGTTGTCATGGTAAGTGATCTCTCAAAGCAAGAGACCTTCTCAAAGTTGTTATGAAAAGTAAAGAATATTATTTAATTATCAACGTAAATAAAAATGAACGATAAATGTTTTGTTCATCATCCAAAACAAAAATATCTTGTTGTGTAAATTAAGTTGAAGACTATCTAAGAGTTATTTTTGAAAGCATTGTCATTGTTTCATATTCTGTTTTCTTTGATATAATGGCGTAAATCAGTAGTTAACATTCGCATATATTGTAACGTCAGAAATATTATTTCGCAACATTTCCTGGTTGGCCGTTATAATTTCTTCAAAATTAAATTAAAAGACTTGAAATAAATTAAAATGCAAACAGTCATTGTTACATTTTCATTTACATCAAGTACAGAATCAACTCGACATAAATCGTTCGTCTTTCAATGTTACCTCAACCTCTAAAAATATCTAAACGTTCCATTTTTTGTAAAGAGTCTACTTCTGACCTAACAATTATTGGAAAAGATAAAAGTGCCGTTAATAGTAATGACTTCATGAATTTTTAATCTTTAATTTAATCAATACCATGGAAATTCATTAATCTTTCAATTAAATCCAAACGAATACATTTCAAAGACGTATAAATGACAGTAGTTGAGTCAAACATGAAATATTTTAATGTTTTTAAATCTCACTGTTCTTGTTATGTAATTTAAACTTAAACAAGTCGTTGATTGAATGTTTGTTGTACCTTAAAATTTATTCATTTTACCAGTTAGTATTGAATCATTCTATTGTTTACATTAGAGTCTTAGATCATCATTAATTTGCAAGTAGATTTGAATAAGCATTTGCTTTGAAAGATTTCATTTTAGAGAAACTTTTGATCAAGCTAGAGCTGCATCAATTATTTTTTTTTATATTATGTCACCTTCAATTAAAATGAAATAAATACATTAATTTTCTTTGTAATGTGATATTGCAGATGGTAGTTGTCTCAAACGTTCAAATTGAATTATATTTCACTTAACAATAATATGAAATGTTATCCAACTCTTGATGGTGTTTTCAATTTCAAATCATCAAACTTTTGCACCAATATGTGCATGAAACTTTTCCAAAAATTATCATTCCTTTACTTCAAAGTGATTCAGACACAGGGAAATTTTCTTTTATTTGATAATCAAATGAATTTAAATAATATTTTACTTCTTAGATGAAACAATTAATCCCAATTTTGTTGATCTTAATAAGATCACAAGGAATTTCTTAATAATATTTTAATTCTCTTAATAAAATTAAAAGTAAAAACATCAAAAAAAAATTATTTCTACCTTTCTATACATATTTATGCTTAGTAGATATTCAAACCTTTAGAAGAAGAAAAAGTCTCATAAATAGAAAGCATGTTGTTATCATTCACAGTTTGTAGAAATTATTAAGCAGAAAGTGAGTGAAAGGTATTAAAAAGATGCGTCTAGAAGATTTTACAAGAGCCTCTTTTTATATTACTGCCTTGAATAAAACTTTTATTTCCTTTTGTTTCATTTTCTGTTGTTCATCTCTCTATTATTTAGTTTATAGCTTAGATATAAAAGGTTTTTCTTTTACATTTTGAGTTTGTTCAACCATAAACTACATAACACATCACAACATGTCTATATAAAAAGGAAAAGTTTGATTACATGGCCATGGAGAGGATTGATTGATTTTCTTTCTGCTAGTTTTACGGTTCGAAGAAGAAACATCAAAGTGATTTAGAGCGCATAAAGAGTACTGAAACAGTCAGAACAAACTTGTGCTCAAGAATCCTTGAAAATTTTCTTTCATATGCAGAAGGAACACTCGAATCATAATGGAAAATAAGAATTTACATCTCACTTCTCTTTTTTTTTCTGGAATCATCTTCTAAATAATCTTAATATCGAAATCATTTTGTAGATGCTTGCTACGTATCAATCAACATGTTTCTTAGGTCGATATCTAAAATAGACGATTATAAAATGGTGAGTGTTGTTCGCGTGTTGTGACGAAATCTGTTAAGAGATTAAAATGTTAGTCCCAAAAAGCAAATTTTTGTTCATCGCTAATCGTCAAAGCCCACTAAATTTTCAATTAAATCTTTGCTTGAATTTTAACCAACAGATAATATAAATACAATGATAACATGCATTCAGAATATGTAAATGTTTAAAGCAATTCAACTGATGATTTAAATATTTGGTGTGGAGTATTTTTGTTTGTTGTGACGCCCACGCGAAATTTTATTTTTATTCTAACAATTCACACAATAATTTATGATGTCGAGGCACTAAGGAGACAAACTTCTAAGCCAATATGTTAAAATAATTTAATCATCCCTCTGTTGATAATGAATTAAAGCATAAATTATCATCATCACAAAATGATTACCTATAATGATACTCAGAATCTAATCTAAAAGACTTTTTTCACTCTCTCCCTCTTTTTCTCACACTTTACGAAAAATCTGCTTCTTATGTTGAGAAAGAGAAACGAAAAAAGATTCTAGATATATGTTTGAACATATTAGAAAGTTTTGTGCTTTCGTAAAACTCTCCTCCATGTAACGGCTACACCACCAACGTCAACTGTTATTTTGTTGCTTCCTTTTTACGCTTTGCTACAACCATTCGTCCCTAATGATCACAATTTTCTTTCCTGTTTCAATTACTTATTCATATGTTGGACTGACAAGAAGTTGGCTGTTGTGAATATAAATGTATGAGTGTGCGTATGTATGTTTGTATCATCATCATCATCATCGTCATCATCATATCATCATCTCTTCGTCCTCACTGTGTGTAAATAAGTATATAAGCGCATCTAAGTATATAAAAAGAGCTTTAAAGAAAAAAATCACTAGTAGCAACCGCAGACGATGAACTGAACACCAAAAAACTTTTGCATTTCCTTTGTGAGCAGTGAAATTAAATTTATTTTCAAACTCCATGACACTTTTGAGATTTTGAGAAGGGAGAATATAAAAATAAGTGTTAAGTCACAATAAAGATTCTGAAAATTGATTTTATGCTTTCTCCGTGGTATTCACAAGTGATGTTGTATATACTTTCGCAAAGTGCTTCCAACTTTTGAAATTTTTATTTTGTGCTTCTCGCACCAAGTCGCATATGCTCGTCGCACACTTTGTCGTCCCGATCATAAAGTGCCAATTATGAGTATCTCTTGTTGCTTTTTTGCGATTTTCTGTACTTTTCTTTTCTTTCTTTCTTCATTCAGATTTCGGAGATAAGAGAGAGAAAATAATTTTTTGAAATCTTCACACGATAAGCTTGTTTTTATTAGCACAATTGAGATTGCTCCAAGGCGGGTATATTTAATCATCTTTATATTTCTACATCATCCATTTAACATTCTTTTCGTTCTTCGGGAAAATTTACATTTGTCTACCTGAATATTTTGAAAGATTACCATAAATGTACTAATTAATCTGATTGGACATTTTATGCGATAAAAATATCGTCTGTGAATATTTTGGTTTTGTTTTTATTTTCATGAAACAATGCAAATTTTGCTACATTTATTGCATTGCTTCTTGATTTGCAGAGCAAATCCGAGATTTTAATATGCGAAATGATGTCCTAACTGAAATAAATTTTTTATTGTTTGGCGAATGTTTAAAAACACTGAAATGTGTTTAAAGTTTAAACAAATACTTCATTCATATCAATTTTATCAATCAAAAACATTTGTCTCAGTTTCCAAATCTCTCACATTTTCTAACATGAATAAAAAAGTTTTCAAGGAAAAAGATTAAATTTCAAGTTTCATTTTTGATTCAAGTTTTTAATTAAAAAGGTATTGAAAAACAAAATAGTAACATAAGAAAGTCATATTTTATTTTGTTTGTCTAATTAAGGTCAAACATAAAAGAGTGAAATAGTTTGCATCTGCATAAATAATGAAGTTTTCTAATTTTATAAAACATCAAGAAAGATGTTGAGAAAAGGATGAGAAATTTCTTTTAATGGGATTTTAAGAATTCCAACTTTGTTCAATTATTCTTTACAATCATATTATTTGATGAAAGTTAAAAGATGCTAAAAGTTTGATTAATTTATATATTTTACCATAGTGGTTAAAGGCAAGAAAATATACGAAGAATCGAAAAAGTTTTTCGTAAAAGCAAAATACATAATGGAAAAGGATCTCGGTATTCAAACATTCAATATTCTAAACATGCATGGCTTCTCTCTTAAATAAAAGTATTCAAAGCTCTTCTCTGCTTTAAATTTCAAAATTCAATAACGATCACGATTGCTGCATGGAGCAAGAAGCCATTGATTTTGGAAGTACATATGTAAATTTGAAAAGAATTTCCTCTCGTATTTCTCGCTATCAAATAAAGACGATAACGGGAAATTTTATAGAGAGGGGAAAAAAGCTTCTCAGTTAGTTGACAGCATAAAATCAAAGCTTTTCTTATTGAATTCAATAAGCAAACATATAGAAACCTTTCCCAATAGAATCTTTGATCTTTGATATTTTATATTGTTGTTATTTTAAGAAAATTGATTGGGTTATAAAATTCGCTTTCTTTGAATGTATACATAGAAAAGTGAATGCATGCTTCGTACATTCTCCTAATCAAGTGACAATATTGAACGAAAAAAGAGACAAAAATAAAGTTAAATTATGACTGATTATTTTGTGCTATTGATTGACAAAGAGAATAAATTGTTCAATGCTGCTTTTCTCCGAATGTTTATTGTATTCGATGTTTATATTTATTTATCATTTTCTTTGTCATTGTGATTCGAAGCATGCATCAGTTAAACAAACATTTATACGCTGCTTTTGCTTATGAAATTTTAGCTTGATAAGTTCTAAGAGAATAGAAACACTAAAAACAAGAAATTATTTTGGAACAATAAAGTTTTGGAATTTTCAACATTTCATTAAAAATGTTTAGTTCTATATATAAAAGCATGTTTTGTCGAGTATTTGTCAACAAACAAATGATGTAAAAATTGAATGCTTTGTTTGTAACTATCTAGTTGTGGTTGTTTATCTTGAGTTCTTTTATAAATTTCCTAGAATTTATTAAGATAGAAATAACAAAATTATATTTTCAATTTGTCTTAAAGTAATCAGTAAACAAATTTTCTTATTTTGGATATTTATTGAATTAATCGATGTATAATTTTCTCTTCTTTCGCTTTGCCGTTCATCTCTATCTTAATCCTCAACCCAAACAACTTGAAAAAATCGATTTTCAACGAAAATCTGTGAAATGGAATGATAAAATTGTAGGAGTATAGCGTTCAGCTGACATTTCGAGAACAATGGTTGGATGAACGACTCAAGTTTGATGATATTGGAGGTGAGTACATTGAATTTGTTTAAAGCGCAAAATCATTTTATTTTACCTCCCAGCTCCACTTTACTTATTTTACTTTTTTTTTGCCACCATCCTAAACATTGACGTCTTCAATCTTGTAAGTGAAGTCCCAACATAAAGCAAATTGTTACAGTAACATTCTCGAGTTTTACAATTTATTCATCTGTAACACGATGTCAGTAATCATACTTTTTTATATGTCTGAACATTGTTAGAAAAGAAAACAATGGAAAACTTTTTTCAAAAATTTTCGCTTAAAAAGAAGAGAAAAACAAAATTTTTAGATAGATTTATATAAATCCGAGTAGAGAATCCCAGTTTTTTTAAACCAGTGAAACGGAGTTTGTAAAACTTTTTAACAAAGTAAGAGAGAAAAAAGTACAAGGGAGAAAAGTTGTTCAAGAAAAACTTGTTATTTCAATAGAATTTTGTTTTCAAAAAAATTGTTAGAATGTTACAAAAATTCCTGAAGAACTAGCGACAAAGTTTTCCAAGATGCTTGTTAATTGTTGGAAACAATAAATTATTTGTACTCAAGATTTGTATGAAATGTCTCGTGAAACTGATTTGTTTATTTACTTAATCTTGTACGAGTTACAATTCTTCGACATTTTCATGAAATCAGCCGCAATTTCATGTAATAAGAATCAATTAAATATACAGATAAATAAATCCCGACAAGACAAATAACAATATCTAACAACTAATGGAACAAAGCAATAAATTTTATGGAACAAGTATTAGAGGAAAAGCTAAATCAACTTCCAACATTCGTTCCAAATTTTTGCTAAATGGAATTTACAGATTTATGAGTTCAGGTTTTTATCTCGCAAATTCTCCTATTCAAACTATCGTAAATTAAATCTTACACAACGAAAAATCATCACACCTCAAATTCTCTCTATTTTAGAGAATTCCAAAAATTTGATATGAGTTTATGGAACTTCCATGGTTATGAAATAATTTCAGATTATAACATGAAAACCATAAAATAGTTTAATTCATGAAATGTGGCTAAAATTCACATCTACATATTATAATGAATGAGAGCTGAGAGATAAAATAAAATGCAACAATTCATGATATTTATCTCCTAATTTGTAAATATTTTAGTTCAAATCCGATGTAAACTTTTTTATTTCTCTACTCAAACAGGGCGACTTAAATATCTCACATTGACAGAAGCCAACCGAGTATGGATGCCGGATTTGTTCTTCTCAAACGAAAAGGAAGGTCATTTCCACAACATCATCATGCCAAATGTATATATTCGTATCTTCCCCTATGGTTCTGTACTGTACAGTATAAGAATTTCATTAACACTCGCCTGTCCGATGAATCTTAAGTTATATCCGCTAGATAGACAAATTTGTTCGTTAAGAATGGCTAGTTGTAAGTGTTGTTCACATCGATATTGACATATACACATTCCTAAGTAATGATTAACTTTTCAACATCTCTATTCTAACTCGTTTAACTCGTTTGCCCTATAAGATGGCTGGACAACCGCAGATTTAGTTTTTCTTTGGAAGGAAGGTGATCCAGTTCAAGTCGTGAAGAATCTCCATCTACCACGATTCACATTGGAAAAGTTCTTAACGGATTACTGTAACAGCAAAACAAATACAGGTAAGGTTGAAAAAAGTTAGAGAAAGCGAGCCACGTTTTATATGTATAGGGATAAAGTGTATAGTCCCAAGCTCATCTTATCACAATTAGACCCTCGTCAAATATTCCAACCCCACTCTTTTTACTCTCTTCAGCTACCAGAAATAGAATCTCATTCCTGATGAATACTAAAAGCCTTCAACAAATACTGAGACCAAAATAAAACATAAATATAAAGAAAAGAATTTGTGCAGAAAAAAATATATTTTTGATCCCTTCAATTGCTTCTTGTTTTCAGGCGAATACAGTTGCCTCAAAGTGGATTTGCTGTTCAAGCGTGAATTCTCATACTATTTGATTCAAATCTACACGCCATGTTGCATGTTGGTCATCGTATCGTGGGTCTCATTTTGGCTTGACCAAGGCGCTGTACCAGCTCGCGTATCCCTTGGCGTAACAACTTTACTTACAATGGCAACACAAACATCGGGTATCAATGCCTCATTACCGCCAGTCTCCTACACAAAAGCTATTGACGTATGGACAGGTGTTTGTTTGACGTTTGTTTTCGGCGCGCTTTTGGAGTTTGCGCTCGTCAATTATGCGTCTCGTTCAGGTTAGTAGTCAATGAATTAACCATCCACTTTCTTTGGTTTTTTTGGTCATTCATTTAGTTGATTGCACTTTCTAAATATAAAACTGCTGATAGGTGTGTTCATCCATTCAATAGCCTTCACAATAAAGCTTCTTTTTTTTTCATTCATTAAGTATCATTCCCTTGCTATATGTACAGAAGAACGACAACCGCACAGATTATTATCTCTGTCCTTTTAGGACCAACAGTGCGAAGATGAACCGCATTACCTTATTTAGAATATTTTTTATGATAATGAAAGTCCCCGAAAGTCAACAGAGAGAAGATAAATTTTAATTAAAAAGTATCTCCCACAATCATAATCATTAAAGCTCAGCTATTTTATTCGCTTCTGCTTTTGTTGTGTTTCGGGCACTCTTCAGCAAGTTTATAAAAGATTTCATATTTTTATGAATATTTTGCACCCGACATTTCCCATCCTTTTATTTTAATTTTTTTTGTATTTTTCACCTTAAGCACGGGATTTGCTTTGTGATTGTCAAAAATGGAAAAGGTCGAATGCTTTATTGTGGAAAGTTTTCAATTCTTAATAACTTAAGCTTGAAATCGTCACGAATTTTGCTTTCGGGAATATTTAACGAATTAACAGACCCAAAAAATTTCAACACTAAAAATTTTGACGATCTACAAACAAATCCAAAATTTAGCGATCAGTCGAAGTAACTCAAACATTTTAACATTTTCATTATCCTCTCGCTTACATTTCCTTCCTTTTGATCCATTCATTCTGCAAGTTAATTAAATAAATGAATATAATATTTTGATAATATCTCATGATTTTTTTTCCTGTGTCTTTTCTTTCTTTTGTTTTTTTCATTGTTCCGATGACGAAATGAAACACAACTGGAAAATGAAAAAAAAAATTAAAATGTTTTCGTTTCGTATTTTTTGTGTAATTAATTTTCGTATGAAAAACAAAACAATTTTGATGTGAATTGCAAAAATAACCACTCACCCATACACTGCTCGTGCAACTGTATGTATTTTGTTTGGTTAATGTTGTTTTTGACCAAATCTCTTCCGGAACTTTGTAAATGGGGATCTCTGATAAAATGAAATATACATTTTTACGGCTTTTAAACATTTGATGCTTTTCCCTTTATTGCGAATATTCTGTGGAAATTTTTATATCAAAACAAAATGAAACGTGAAACCAAAAATTTTCTCGTTAAAAAACAACATAAAACTAAAACATTTGTGTTTGAAATTAAACTTGTTGTTGAAAACACATAAATTCTTTTGGCGTTTTGGTTTTTTTATATGTTTTTATTTCAACGCTCGAATCTTCAACTTCATTATAAAAAAAATGGCCACTCAAAGCGGATAGGGCCGCAGATATTCATCGTGAGAATATGAAGAAAAAACGTCGTGAACTGGAGCAGCAGAGCTTAGATGCAACATCAGATCTTTTAGACACCGACAGCAATGCCACGTTTGCAATGGTGAGAATTATTTTCAACTCAACATGTCGTATTTGTGAAACTTTTTCCTTCTTTCTTCTCTTTATGAATGAAATATTGCATCAAACTTTACTTTTAAATGCGACATGTTATTTATTAAAGAAACTTTGTGAATTTATCGAATTCTGTTTTACCATTTACTTCAATAGAAACCATTGGTGCGACACCCTGGCGATCCCTTAGCACTCGAAAAGCTAAGGCAGTGTGAAGTGCACATGGCTCCACCGAAGCGTCCAAATTGCTGTAAGACATGGCTCTCCCGATTCCCCACAAGGTAAGTTGAGACTGTCTAAAAGAAAATATTTGTCGAATACATTTTAAGTGTTTACAATCGAGAAACTTCAAACTTCTTCAAAAAGCCCCGAAGCACTTTTATATTAAGAATAAAGTGATGAAATGAAGACTTATGCACATGCAACGAAAGTTCTTCTTCTTTTGTGTTTATTGAAAAATGTAACTTCTTGAAATGGCAGGGTGGATGAAAACGATAACAAGTTGTAATTTAGTTGAGAAATTCCCGCTCTGAATTTGATAAAGGTGAAAATAAAAATTTTAAATCTATATAAAGTGAAATTTAGGAGCTGTTAAACTTCAACGTTCTTTTCAAGTCGAATGGCTCTAAATTGCTCACCAAACCCGTGCTATTTCTCTAGTACAGTGGTAAAAATTTATTGTGCAAGTAAATAAATGACTTCATTTCTAGCTTACTCTTTTTATAACTCTGCTGTATTCAAACGTTTTATGGCCAGTTAAAATTTGTTGTAAGTTTTCCTAGGACGAGTGTCTATTTTTTGATTATTAGGATAGTAATAAAGTTGATGATTTATTTAAGAATCTCGCATTAAATAAAATGTCTGACGATCGTTGCAGTAGTTAATTTAAGTTTTTTTTATTAAAAATGAAAATGAATTTGTATTTAAACCTTTTTTTCTGTTTTCAATTGTAACACAGGCAATGCTCAAGATCAAAGAGAATCGATGTAATATCACGAATCACATTTCCGCTCGTATTTGCACTGTTTAATCTGGTTTATTGGAGCACATATCTCTTCAGGGAAGAGGAAGATACATAAATCTAAACTTATCGAACTTTAATAGTTTTAATTAAAAGTTTGATGATAGCATATGAAGGAGAATTTATGAAACCACTCACCGCATTCATCATCAATTTTATCAACGTCATCATCAAAAAATTTCATACGAAATAAACAAAAAAAAAAAACTAAAAATTCTTAAAAAAACTTTGTTATGTTTTAAAAAAACTTATGATGCGCATTGAAATGTTTATTTTTCTTCAAGTTTAATTTTGTAAAAAAGCATATTTATATTCATCTGACATAATAAATTCATGTTGATGAGAGTTGTAAATATATAAATAATTATATATTCAGAGGAAGTTTAGAAAACAAGAAAGAAAATTAGTAAAAAAAAAATAACGATAACAGAGGAAATGCCTAAATAATAATCCACATATTCAAACATCCAGAAGTCTTCTTTTAATTCATTTTTCTTTGTTTTATTTGTGAAACAATAATATCTAATAACAACATGAGAATCAAAAATTAACATAGATAATAAAAAAAATTTCGAACTTTTTTTTTGATAATTTTCCTTCCCTTAAGTGAGAAATGTTTCTGCTTTATGTAACGATAAAATATGATGTGATGGGAATAATCCACAACAAAAACTTTTTTTTTGTTTACCCCGAAGAAAAGATTAATAAAATTAAAAAAAATCCAAATGAGATATTAAAAGCGATTTGGACTTTTAATTATTTATGAACAACAACATTTTGAAAAATAATATTCGCATTTGGAGCAAAAGGAAAGAAAAAGTTTCTGGTAAACAATTTTGAAGGTTTACTTTTGTTATTTTATTATTTTTATTCAGATATGTTTGAATAATTCACATTTATCTTTATTTTTTGTGTTTAATAAAGATCTTTGAAAATTCAATTTCGTTTATTTCTTGGATGAAAGTATCACTAACAATATTTATAAATAAAACAAATAATGTCACATACGTAATGATTTTGATGAAATCACTCAATAACCATCTCTGAATAAATAAAACGGGAACTCGATTTACTTTTCTATCATTACAATTATTTATTTCATACAATTTTTGATATTAAACAACTATTTATTTTGATAAAAGAAAACGAAATATTTTAGCTTCTGATAACTGATGAAAGAAATTTACATAAAAAGTTGAAAATCATCATAAACCACCCGTCAAGTTCCCATCAAACATTATCAAGACCATTGCAAGCATTTTCATGAATCTCCATTAAGCGTCACAGCTTGTAAATATTTGAATCCAATAAAACGTTGATAAACATTTGAGGAAGAGTCCAGATTTATTACAGCCTCGACGCAGAAGAAGCGTATAACAACAAGAAAATACGCGATCAAAAATCCATTACATCTCTTTTTGTTGATTTTCATTATAAATCAATATATTATTCTTCCCATCTTCTTCTAGATTCAAAACGAAATGTTTTCGTAAGATAAAATTAAATAATCATTTTTCCACACTCCCTCAAATTTCAAATGAAAAATAAAGAAAAATTTCAGCGAAAACAAATTTTCTTTAATTACGATGACATAAATATTTAATAAATCTGAAGTAACATTCACGGTTATAAATTATCTCATGTTTGTACGAATTTTCAAAAGATTTTTCATCATTTTTTCATGCATACTTACCTACCTACATACCTATGTACATTTGTTTGTGTTTCTTTTTATTAAAAACATGAAGAACTTCTTTATACGCCACACCAAAATTAAAAGAGTTCGTGACACGTGACAAGTCAAAAATAAAAACAGGGTTTAATGATTTAAAATGTATAATTAATGTCGCTGTACTTCAAGCTCGCTAAATACACATAAAAAGAAATAAGAAAAGGATGTTGTCATCCTTAACCTTACACTTGATACGATGAAAAAGTATGCTGACTTTAGAGTTTAAAATTGTTTCAAATACTTACATCATTAATGTAAAATCCTAAAAGTGTCTCTTACCATAAAAGAAAGAAATAATTATAAAATATATAATAAATGCATGTATACATAAGCACACTCACATCTAGTTCGGAAGTTTCGGTTACATACAGAAAAAGAAAATTAAGATTAAGATGATGATCACAACGTATGCTAAATTTCTTCGTAAACTTTTCTAGAATAATTTATATTCACTCGTAATAATTTTAAAAGCTCGAAAGATCTTATAACTAAATTCTCATAAGATTGAAGCGTAAATTATTAAAATTTTGTATAAACGAAAGAAACAACATAGTCTTGTGTATTAACAATTAATGAAATTGAGTGAATCAAGATGTTGAGGGTGAGATAGCGAAATAAATAGCATGAGAGAGAGAGAGAGAGAGATAGTGTGGGTGGTGATAAATAATATGAAAATTCGCTTGACAATTGAAAAGTCTTCTCTGGTCAGAAACTAAATATAATAAAAATAATTCAGTAGATGTAAAGTTTGATAAGGGTTGAACGTTCACCAATTGCCAATTGTTTAAGAAAATTAATTTTAAAAAGAAGCCCGCGTGACATTAACCCATGTTCAAATTAATGATTGTTTTTGTAATTCAAGTTGACGACAAGCGAGATCGTTCGACACAGCGTACGACGTTTCGTATCAATTGAATTGTGTAATCAATGCTCAAAAATTAGATTAAAACTCTAATTATAATTTTTATTATTATTTATCCGAAATATTTTTAGAAGGGTGAAATAAGGTTGAGAAAAAATTCATCAAATAAATTTCTTCTGCACCGTAAGAAAGCCTCTCAGTTGGAAGTTTTCACGCTTAACGTGCTACATTACAATATCGTTAATCATTTTTTTGTTACCACTGGGGCTTAAAGAAAAGGTCTTCTCAAATTTCAGCACCCAAGACTTCTTTTCACTGTATATTTACATATTGAAGATTCATTATTATGAGAAAAATAAAAGTAAAAAAATTTTGTGATATTTTTTAATAAATGAAAATGAAGAAAAAAAATTACAAGAATTATTCTGACTACAAATTGTTTGAAGCAAAACAAGAAACTCATAAGAATTGTAAAAAAGTTCTGCGGTTAAAGCTCTTTATGTAACTTTCATATTTCGTATTGCACAAATGTAGAATTTATGCAAAAAATTTTTGTATATTTTTTTTTATGTTATCTTGTTTAATTTTGAAAGATGATGCATGATGAAACGAGTAAAGCAAAAAATATTGCTAATTAGACAGATGAAGGTGAAAAAAATACATATTTGACTAACTTTACGTTGTCAGCAATGAATGTGAATGTGATGGTGGGATAACATGATGTACATGATTTTAAATTGTAAAATATTATGTTAAGCTCTCTGATTATAAAATGAAGAGACTAAAATGAGTCTATACGTACATATTAATATGTATTTTCATTATCCAAAAGAATTCTGATTATTTTAAATTTTATTTTCTTATCCTCGTTGTAATCTCGGTTGTTGAAAATTCTTATGAACAACAAAAAAAATCATTTAATTATTTATTGTTGTGCAAAGGTTTCGAACCAAATTAAGCTTTGTATTGAGCACCCTTTTAAATAATTCGAAGTGGGTTGTTTCTTTCATGTTACACATTCAGTCAAGAATAAATTTAATTTTGATCCTTTTTCAATGTGTTTTCGCCTTTTTCACTACGACACTTAACTGACATTAAATGTTAATAAATAATTGTCTGATAAATGGTTTGTTTAGACGTTAATCTTGAGACAGAAAGAACGATGTTAATATAGAAATATGTCCATATAGGAAATATACGAGGTGCGTTAGGTGAAATGTTTCCTCGCGTAAATTATTTTCATTTCGATGATGCTTCTCATCATCGTACATGATCTAATTTACCGGAAAGAATTTCCACAAAAAAGTCAAATCATTTAAACAAGAAAATATTACGCTCAATTAAAGAAAGAAAACTTGAAGGAAAATGAAGGAAATGAGCTATGCTAGAAGCGTCGATGTCCAGTGAAACTATTTCTAAAATGTATTTTTAAGAATCACGTCCCTTTCTTGATGAGATTTTTATTCTTACACTTTCAAAGTCACTCACAAAGTACGAAATTTTCTTAACCTTCTTTTATAAATAACTCAGAAAATGTCAGCAACTTAATTTTCTGTCTTTAACTTTATCGTCCATAAATTATTTCGCTTCACCTCAAGTCGCTCGCTGTTTTCTTAAATAGGTTTCAATTAAAAGTTATTCCCTCCAATTGTTAAACGACTGCATTAATTTTTCATCTTGGATAACATAATTGGAGAGAATATCTTGATAACATCGGACTTGATTCCTTCACAAGAAAGGAAAGAAGGAAGAAAAGTTAAAGAAAAGTTTATCTCAAGGTAAATAAAAAAAATATTCTAAAGTTTTCCATTTAGATATTTCTATTTAATATGAGAACGAAAGATGTCTAAGTAAAAGTTGTGAGACGGATAGAGCGACTTCATCAAAAATCCTTCTCGTTTCGTGGAATGTTAAAAAATTTATTTATGATTGAAATAGCAGAAATTGAAGCATAAAAATATTTTTTATGCTGTTTCTCTTTTTCAATCGCTATGGTTTCATCTGATGATGTCAGTCGCTCTGGTGATTGCCTGTTTGTTTTTATTTTTAACATTTCAATTCATCGTCATCCACGAGCGTCACCAGGAAACTGAATGTCATAAGAGCAAGTGAGATTACTTAAGATGTAAACGATTTTAAAGAGATTTCTACGATAAATCTCGTGAAAAATGTAGGGAATAGTCACTTAGAATAGTCATTTATAAAACAACTAGAACGACCCAGTAACACACAATATTATATAATGTTAAATGAAATAAGAATGGAAGAAAATGGCAACATCTATGAGAGAACTTCATGACATCAAAGCACTATAAATCCAAGAAAACATACACAAAATGAGTAGAAAAATGTTGTAAATTAGATGATAAAATCATTTATTTTTAAAGGATGAAAAGTCTTTTCATTTCGTTCCAAGTTTTATATACAAAAAAAAGAAAGAAAGAAAAAAAATAAATAAAATGAAGAGAATAGAATTTATAAATAAAAAGTGTGAAACTGCGAGAAAGTTCGCTGAAATAATATAGATTCGAATGAATGAGAATGGATAGTGGTTATTTATATGACGACTAAGAATTAAAAAGAAATAGTAAATAATAAAAAATTGTTTTTAATAAAACCAGGATGATGATTGATGATACAATTAAATAATTAATAAATTATTATTATATACAAAACTATACAAAAATAGTTATTGCTTCTATTCATGTTTTCATTTCGCAAATTAAGTTCCTTTTTCTGTTGAGCATTTATTACAGTAAGTGGAAGATCAATCTTCGTCGATTCTCACCTTGAGCTTAAGGCGAGGATTTGTGGAACTTAGCGCAATTTTCTCCTTTCATTTTATGAGAGTAAGTAGTGAAATACTAAAGAGATGGAAGATATTATTCATGGGGGTGAATGCTAAAGCCCAGACACTATTAATAAAGCTTAAGAAAGCTAAGGGAGTTTAGACCATCGAGGAAGATTCTGCTACATTACTTACGTTGCATCCTTCTGTGAAGAAAAGAAAATAAAGAAAATTTTGTTCGAATACTTCAACATCGATTTATTGATCAATTTTTCAACATGTCTTTACTTTCATTTTATTCTTAAAGCAACTGAAATGAAAGCTTTCAATATAGTGAGTGGCATGATTTCTTTTTTAATAAATAAATTCTATGACTTCGTCTTCCTTTTCTTTTGATTGAGATCCCGTGGATTTTAAAAATACTTGTCAAAAAATTCTTCTTCATACATTTCCTTCCAACTGTGAGTTTATATTACACAAATATGTACATCATCATTTTGGTAGTCTTGAAATTTAATCCTTTGTGTTCTCTCTTATCCAATCCATGTATTCAGACACCTTAAAATATTCAAAGCAATAATAAGAGAGTTTCCTAATTCAAATTTTGTTGAACACAATACCCTTGTGTAAACTCCTGGGTATGAAGGTTCACCGCATTTGTTTCCAAAGCTCACAATTCCCAATTGAATCCAATGGGAATCTATTTCCATCATCAGTGGACCGCCCTGTAAAATTAATGTTGATTTATTATTCTTTATTGTCTTCATTTGTTAATATAAGTGCACAAAATAACTTACTGAATCGCCTATAAATAAATCAGCAACGTCATTTCAATTATAGAAGTGAATTTATAATCTTAAACAGATTTAATAATTAATAATCAGTCAAATTATTTTCTGAAATCAAAAATGCAACTCTCCTTTCTTATCCAACAAACTAATAATGACATTAATAAAAACAAAAATTCATCACAGTTAATTGAATAAGAAACGATTCATTGCTTTCTGATTTCTTTATCTTAAAAAAGTCATCTTAACTTGGCATGCATCAACTCCCTGTTGTCATTAATCATCCGGAAAAGAAAGAAGAGAAAAAATATTTTATGAGAAAAGACTGCTTAATTTAATATTTAATTCATACTCCTTCTGAATATCCCGCGCAAAGGAAGTTTTCAGTAATTGGTTGAAAATAAGCTTTATTACAATCCTCGTTTCTCCAAATTGGAAGATTAGCTTGACGCTGTGTGGCTGATTCCTTTCCACCGTAGTAAGTTGTGCCCCAACCTACAATCGTTGCTCGTCTACCCACTAAGCGTTCCTTTGGGGTATGTGGCTGAGGTAAGCACACAGGTATCACGTATTTTGACTTTCTTACAGGCTGCTCGAGGGCCATTACTAAAATATTAATCATAAATTAATATCTCAACACGATTTGAAGTTCAGTGAAACTTACTAGCAATATCATTATAAAAACCAACTCTTGAAAATCGTGGATGCGCGCGAATGTCTTTGACCTTGTAAGTTACAGGCGCTGAAGGTTCATGATCTGATGATAAATCGATGTCACCCAATCGTACAGTGAACTGCCGAGCTGCGAAAGGTCGTTGTCTCGAATCACGAGTACAATGTGCTGCAGTTAAAACCTTTAAACATTTAATACGATTATTATGTTTTCATAATGTAAACATCTTCACATAATTTACATATTTTGATCCAATTAATGATCCACCACACCAAAATTCTGTTCGTTTTGGGCCATGCAGAAAAATCGCAGCAAGCCAGGGCCATTGACCAGTGGGAGCTTCAAGACCACCCACAATACGACCCGAAGAATATTCCTGTTGGCCGCATTCATCGGCATCGACAAAATTGCCTACAGTTTCAAGTTTATCCGAAACGAAGGAACTTGGAGTTTGAGTCACTGTGCTTGATATTGTGAAAACAGGAACTAAAGGTCGTTTTGTAGTTGTCGCTATTGGATTCAAAAACAAACTCGGACGAGTTGTCGTTTGTCGTGTGGTTAGCTTCAATGGGCGTTGAGTTGTTGTCGAGAATGCATTTGAAATATCAGATACTGGGCAACAAACTCCCGGTACAAACAGACTCTTGAAGCAAAGTGACTCCCTTAAATGTGTTAAATCCAGCAGCAAGCCCGGACAATTGCTAAGGTCATCGCATTTACCAGGACGACCATCGGGTGTTCTACATCGATTCTCACCCTCTTTACTTTGATAATCAACAATTTTTGCTATTTGACGAGAAATATTGAATGAGAAATGAAATCAGTTTCATCAGAGATGAAAATTGTTAGGGAAAATTTCGAATATCGCTTCAAACTATGTTTGGTGACAAACGAAAATATTTTCTTTAAAAAATAGACAGGAAAATTTACAACTCTGCTTTATAAATACAATCTTCTCCCCCTCATTCCACAGAGTTATGGAAATTTATTCATGAATTTTTTTTTTACTCTTTGGGAGAAAATTTTGTGTTCCCGAGGAGTCATCAATAAATCACGTCTCGCAACGAATTACTTTTTCAACTTTTCTCATGTTATTTTTCCGCAAAACTTTTCACTAAGATTAAGCCAAACATTCAAATCTGCTTATCTTCCCGTCTCGGAATGCAAAAAGTTCAAAAGCTAAAAAGCTTCTGACTCAACAATAAATTACGAAATGGGAAGTGTAACATAATTTATTGATTTGTGTATTTGACTGGACGTTTTATCAAAAAATTAAAATCTTACGGTTTTCCGAATATGATTCAACTCGTTCAGTTATTTGTTCCAACACCGGTTGTTGGTCTTTTCGTTTCGTTTTCTGTTTCTTCTTTTTCAATTTCTTTGAGTCAACACCAGAATAATTGTTTGTAGCATTTAATAGAAGAATGTTTGAATGTGGTAACGTTGTGGTGGAAAGCAATGCTGGATCATCTCTAGTCTCAACAACTCCTATGCGTTTAATCATTGGTTCAATAGTTTTCGTCATATTCTGTCCCAACACGTTTTTTGTTAAGGTAAGAATTGCATCGGGCACGTTCTCTGATGGGTTATTATTGGTAATTGAAGCTTCGTTTCCTCTCGTCATGTTCACTATATAACGTCCCACTGTATTAAGCGCACCTAAAGTTTAGAAATGTTATCAGACCACAATTTAATGAAGCGAACAGGGGAAAAGAAATCGAATGAATTGAAATAATAGAAAAGCTAAGTTGTAAAGGGATGCAGAGTGCTTCAGTGATATCAAATTTATTTCAAATAATAAGAAATAAATCAAGAAATAGCAACTGTGTCGATGAAAATTCTAATATTGAAATAAAATTCGATACTGTTGATATTCCTTCGAATTCTCTTTTTTTTAAAAGCATATAAATTTCAAACACAATAAAACCTAAAGTTTCCGATATTTTGGAGAATGCTAATGGTGACATAAATCTTCCAAAGCGGGTTGTTGTGCTTTCAACGGTTCTGGAAGTGCTTTCCTCTTCTTCTTCGCTTACATCCTCATCCTCATCGTCGTCGTCGTCATCATCATCATCATCCCCAGTATAATCCTCAATCATATCCAGGAAAACATTTCGTTTAATTCGGTGTACTGACGATGAAGCTAACTCTTGCTGAAAATGCAAATCTGTTTCAAATCGGAAAATTAAATGTTATGATGGATGGAATAAAAATGTATATGTTGATACCTTTCAACTGCGATGACAAATTATTTTCTCTTGGAGCATGAGAGCTGCATTGTGCCGATAGTAAATTAAGCACAAAAACTATAAGAGAGAAATTTTTGAAATTCTTAATTAATTTCTTGACTTATCGACATTTGAATGAGTTCTATGAGGATAAAGTTCGATAATTAAATTCATTATCGACTAAACATAATTATCTAGATACTATTATTAATATTATTCTTTCAATAGAGATACAAAAACTTTCTTGTTTGTAGAGTGAGCGAATACCTAGGAAGTTTATATACCTTGGAAGGATTAAGTTGAAACTTTAATCATAAAGAATAATTCAATTAAAGTTTTTCATTTCTCGCATGATTGTCCATAATCATGCTCAGTTATAAAAAGGATTTGTGATGAAAATTCATTAGCTATGTGAAAAATTCTTTTTTGTTGGGAAAATGTCAATAAAAAGATTGATATTCAGTTATGGAATATTTTTTTCGTTTTATCGCTAGCATTCAAACATGGAAAACTTTCATTATTAAATATCTTTCAACAACGAAAAGCTTTTCAGATGTTTCTTCAATTTCAAATATGTCAAATAAACCAAGATTAATTTTGACTGTAAGCGATAACCTTTCTGTACAATTCATCAAGCAGATGCTTATAAAGGAAATTGCTACGAGATTTTTCCCTTGCCATTGAAGAAAGCTGTGCAAAATTAAATGTAAAGGTTCAAACACATTGAAGCAATTTTAATCAATGTTGCCATCATCATCATTAAACCAATCCAATTACCTATGTTCTTTTAAGAATTCTTTCTTCTCTCTCTTTGTTAGTGAGCATGATATGTTTTTGACTTTAAGAATGTTTACACAGTTTCTAATCAAAAGAAATTTGTTTCATTCGGCCCTTCACAACGATGAAAGAAAGAAAGCAAGAAAAAAGGGAAAAGAAAGTCAAGATTGAGGAAAAGATTTTTAACAAAGCCAAACTTATTTCTCTCAATTTTTAAAGAATTGAAATTCAACTCATGTTCAACTAATAAATTGAAAAGGAATAATGCAATTTGGTATTTGTTGAGAAGTTTTACGCAACGCACGACAGCGCGGACGTTTGTTTTTGAGTGAAAATCATTGTTTGTCCCAAAAAGCCACAAGATTCTCACTTCGTACCATAACCGACAATGAAAGTTCCAAACATTGTACTTTAATGTATTCTGTAACAAGTAATTATGACCATCATTGTGTGGCATTCCATATGAAAATCAAGAAGTGGGAAAACTCAAATACTGATTAATAATACAGCAGAAGGAGATGATAAAACGAGAATAGAATGAGGTAATGAACCTAGAATGAGCGTTAACTTTTGTCTTCCGGGGGGAGAGAATGAATCGATTAGCCAAAACTAAGACTTGTTAATTTGATTAAGTATTCCACAAATGTAACTCGCGAGCATTCAAGCACAGCAAACAGGATAGCGAAAAATTGTGATGTATAGCATGTAGTTTCCATTTAATTTGAATATTAATGTGGTGATTGTATAACATTAAGGCAGGCAGTACGAAGAAATAAAGATGTTTATTTACACGTACTTTCGGAGCAAGAAAAAAAAACTTTCACTGTCTAACTTTGCAAGTAGCTTTGTTGACTTGCGTTGGGATTCGAAACGAGAGTTGCTTCTTCATTCTGATTAATTAAATTTCGGATTCTTTTTCGCCACTTTCGTAATGGGACGTTTAAATTTTTTATTCGCCAACAAACGTTAAATGTGAATAACTTTTATACGATTCATCACTGGGCTTTCTCAGATTTTTTATGACAAAAAAGAAGGATGAATTATTGATATTTTTTCATCCATGATTCGCTAGGTAGATTTCTGCTGAAGAAGGAAGAAAAAAAATTACTTTCAAAAGAAATGTTGAATAAATTTGAGTATTTTGAGATGAAAAAGGGCGAGTTTAATATTAAAGCGACGCCTGAGCACGTAAATCACTGATAGAGCATCATTTTTGAAATGATGAATGAAATGGTAAAATATGGGTCGAAATAAATCCCCTCCCGAAGCGAAATTTTCCTCGCCCGGGGAGCCTAGATTTGATGTATGCTTTAGTCATTTTTTGGTAAGATTTAAGGGTGTTCAGACGAAAAACGATTTCAAAATTTTAATGCCAATGTTGATAAAATACATTAAATACGATTTCAATTGTACACATGTCAACAAAGTTGAGGTCATTCCAATCAGATGTTAACAATGATTGTCCTACATCTACTTTGATAATTTAACTTTGAATCAGTAGTTCAAATATTAGAACTCGACCTTTATAAGATTTTTAATAAATTTCATCTTATAAATTAAATAATTGTGTAGGTACTTAGAATAACGATGAACTTTACATTACGAATAAATGTAAAAGTAATAAGAAGAAAAGATAAATTATAATTCTTTCGATAAGAACATTGGAAACGTGAATAATAAATTAAAACTTAATTCATTGATGGAAAAGTTTCTTGATGCTATTGAAGTCGCAATTTGCTACGTCTTCATTTTAATGAATTTGATGAAATATTCATTAAGTTTTCGAGTTTTATTATAAGATTGCAAAGCTCTGTGTCTGACTTCTTATGAATGAAAGATTGTAAAAAAAATTAAAAATGGCGCCTTGAAATCAACCGTAATGTTTAAGGATTAAAACTCGGAAGTAATGAAACCTTTTGACTCACAAGAAACTTGCAGTTTCATCTGAAATGATTTTATTTTTCATTGCAATTGGAGTAATAAAAGAGAAATCATAAAATCTTCGCTGTACAATGTATATGGAAGTTCCGAAAGAAATAAAGTATCCACGAAAGGTCACATAACGAGAAGGATTGTTCATAAATCATGTAAGCCCAGCAAGAAATCCATGCTTAGATATTTCTTTCACATGATGATGATGACTCGTTTTGATGTCTTTGTAAACATTGTATGTATTAAAAAAGGAAGAAAGAAAAATAAATAAATAAGCAAATACTGACTTTAATAACACGTGTTGGAGATGGGGGCGGTAATGGAAAGAAGGAAGAAGAAACAAGGAACAAAATACAAGGTTTTCAATTAACGACCAAGATTCTGCTTTCTTAAGCTCTATTGGAACTAGAGCTCTTGTTGAACGATACAAGTAGAAGGGGACGCTTACTTTCACACAAAAAATGTTTTTATGACTTGAACAAATAAATTTTCAAGAGAAACATGACATGTATACGAAAATTCCTTTGTTGCTTAATTGCTTTTAAGTGAACTTTACGATGACTTTTAGAGCTAAGGATGGAATATTTTACTATGTTTAATAATTTTGAGTTGAGAGCATGCGGAATAATTTTATAATCGTAATAACTCACTTTCGCTTAGACTGTCCTTACCGCAAAGATATTTTGTATCGCATTTAGTATTTGCTTGATAGGCCCATTACATGTATAGAGTCAGACATAAAGATTATTTTTTTCCGGTTCCGGTCTTTCTGTTTACGACCAATCCCAAACGCATCAAAGTCAAATCGTAAAGTCCGAAAAGGCATTCAGCCGTGTGATAAACTGAAATAACTTGAAAGAAATTATTTTTAGAGTGAGCAAAGCCACTACAGTCAGCACACAATTTGCGGTTTTTTTACTATTTATACATGAACTAAACTTCAGGTTTAAAACCTTTTTGTCTTTTTTAGCAATAAACACGAAACGTTCAAGAAGTTAACTCAGCAGCAACAGACAACGACAGTTTTTTACTGTACCTTACTCTTTTTTTTCCTTTTTTGTGGTAGCTTTATGTCATAAAAATATGCTTTGAAAATGTTAAGGGTTAGAGCTTTGGTTCACTTAAGGTTCGATAGGAAGTTGCGTCTGAGAGTCAACCACTGTAGATAATTATTTTGCTCTTATCTTTTATCTATTCATACGGCGGACTTGAATATTAAATTAAAAAACTTTTCTCTTAGACAAAATAAATATGTTCTCATAAAAGCTCTCTCCTCTAACATTTAATTTAATTAAAGTGCATGGCTTTGGGTTAAACTCTCACTCAAAGAACCAAACCGATGAACTGAGGTTTAGAAGTGAATGAGAATTGATTTAGTCGAGTGATATACTTAAGTATAAAAGTATTCAAAACATCCCACATGAAACGGAGATTTAGAAAGGTTTCTTCATTACGTAACATTTTTCTTCTTTCTAGATGTCAATTTGAAACGCAACTGTAGGTTTCATTGTATGTTGAAAATCGGATTGAGGGATGAAAAAAAAAATTTATCAAGATGAGAACAAAAAGCGATTTTGTGTGTTTTAATTCCTCTTAGAATTTTGAAGGTAAAGAAGACCCAAAAAGAGATTTTTAACTTTCCACAATCTCTCACAATCATGGCAAGATGACCAAAAGGACGAAAAAGTCGAAAACAAAAACTTCTTTAAGAACCTGAAGACAACAATTTCATAAATTCAGAACACTGATAACTTTTCACTTTAATTTTATCAAATGAAAATCTTAAAATGAAGTTCATTAGATCGAGCAGACAAAGGATGAAGGGTGAAATTGATGGAATAAATGAAAGGGAAAAGCTGGTAGTCTGAAGCTATTAATATCGTTCTTCATTCTTATTCTTCAATATGTCAAAAATCTTAAGTCGTCCATCCCAACGATACTTCATCGATGAAAGATTGAACTCTTTATTCGAGGGTTCCGCTTATCTATCAAAACTTTGTAACAGTTTCATATTAGGCTATGGAAAAAAAAGTAAATATCCGGATTGTCCGTCCATTGATGACAATCATTCACGCCCATTCCATATTCACTTCTTCAACAGCTGTCAGAGAATTAACATAAATCCATTTCGCTCTATCGTCTTTTAACATAAACAACTTTACATCTTCCGTTGGTTTCTGCTGACATCGAAAAATTATGCAGAGGAGAGAAATTAACATAATTTGCTTCTTGCGCTTGAAAGTCTTTACTTGTCTCTTGCCGTCTCATCGTTGTTTATGTCGTATTATTGTTCAATAACAGTTATGTAACTTTCTTTTCTCATATTTTTCTTTTCCACAACGCTTCAAGCGTTATTCATCATTTTAATGGGCCTGTCTTCACTGTTTGACGAAGTCTCACATTTTGCGCGTTGTTAAATTTCAGTTTCTACCGATAATCATCAATTGTGAACTCGCACCGAATGACGTCATTGTTGCCATCGTTATTTATCAAAAATAGGCTTTCGGATTTGATAACAAGTAGAATGGATGGAAATGCGTGTGGCATTCAATGATGTTGCATAAAAATATTTTCTTCAGTATCTAGTTTCGTGTTGAGATGTTCGAAAATAGACAACGTTAGCTTACGCCATGCCATGATATATTTAAGGATTTCTTCGTGATCACCTTAAATATGCTTTTTATTTCCAAATATTCAAACATAATTCAAATCATCAAAGTTCTGAAAATATTATTTTATATCTTTTTATAGAAAGCATTCATCAAACATCTCTCAAAACTTAAGCGTTATTGCTAATATCCCAACAAAATACTCTCCCAGAACAACGAAACATGATTGATGAAAGCTTCTCATTCCATTTTTAAATTGAATGATTGATAGGTTTCAGTGACCTTTTCCTTCCTCGTTCAGTGAGTATTTCTAAAGCTTTCGATATTGCTAAAATAAAATGATTCGGCTACAAATTGAGTTCTTTAAAAAAAATATACGAAATTCCATCCCAATCTAAAAGTAATGGCGTTAGAAGCAAAGCCTGTGGAATTGTTGAAAAGGTGAAATGAAGAAAAACAGAAAATGTCATGGGTGAGTTGAAAGTTAACGAGAGAAAAAAAATACATCAAGCGAAATCTTTTAAACGTAAATGTAAACATTCCGCAAGCTAATTAAAGTGTTTCACAAAATACCTAATTTGAAAGTGAAATCACGTCATCACAAAAAAATTTAATCGTTGTTTTTAACAAAAAGTTACTTGATTTTGCGTAGGAGAATCTCTCATTTGTATGCTTTGATGTGACTTTCCAATCAACGATTAGTTAGCAAACATTCTTTCCCAACCACTAGCAATATCAAATCCGTTAAACGATTTTCTCAACTCAAAATCAGGCGATAGTTATACGACAGAGCTTACAATGTAAGAGATTGTGATGGATGTAGGTTGGGAATAGAAGAAAAAAGTAGAAGGAATTCCAGGGTAAGAGACGATAATATATTGGCAATTTAAAATTAAATTGTTTCCTCGACAATATAATAACATTACACAAGAGCTTTATATTAAAATGTTTGATGTTGACTTTATTATTTGTCGTAAGCAGAGTGGAAAAAGATTTTAAATAGGATTGTGAGAGGCAGAATGATGAATCTTTGGCAAACTTTGTATTGCATTTCATAATATAAATATCAAAAGAAAAATCAGTAACATTGCAATTTCATTTGATGAAACATTTTTCATTGAGCATCGTGAATCTCTTGATAAATTCAAACACAATGTAAAATACATGGATGGAAGTTTGGATCAAAAAGGATTAGCTTTGGGAATTAGTAACTAGTTTTGTGTAACAACAATAACAACGTTCGATGGAATTAATAAAAGTTGGATGTGACGAAAGAAGAAATGCGCAATGATAAACACATTTGAGAGTAAATGACAACAAACATGCGAAGCTCGAATTTACCCTGTGATGTGTACGCTGCATGCATAACAAGCTATCATGCCTTCCGAACGGGTTTCGTGTGCGCTTTGTTATAGTATTAAAAAAGTGCGTATCTGCCATTGGGATTGACCGTTGTAAACATAACATTTAGTTTAGTGTTTCATGGTTCATTTTTCTTTACGTCTTTCTGGGGATGACAACAACATATAAAAAGATAAAGAGACAAGAAAAAAGGCTCTTAGAGTCGACTGACGCATTATGAATTTTAATAGGATCATTAGAGGAATAACTCGAGGCTTCATGCTGTATGTGAATAAAATAAAATGGTTCATCTTCGCTACCGTTTTGTGTCAAAATAGGTACAAGTGGATAGCTTGATATGTAGCATGGCATCCTTTTTTTGTTGGTCTATAAACAACGTCGAGTAGTCTACAACCTTTTAGTGCTTCAACAAAACGAAAGGTTAGAAAGCAAGTAAAGTTCAAGTGAAACAACATCGACACATTTTTTTCTCATCTTCTTCTCAAAAGAGAAGACTTTGCAATCCCTAAAATTAATTTTCCTTAACACCTCATCCGTGTCTCACGCCCGAAAAGTAAAAGTTTCTTTTTTCTCTCATTTCTACGAGAATCTCCACCATCAATTTTAAATGAAATGGGAAGATGATGATGGGACGTACTTTGAATATTACAGAAGCGTGTTTTTGAACCTTTTTTGTGGTATTTGGAATTAAACTTTGATTTGATATAAAAAACTGAAGATTTTTTTTAATTCAGAGGTGATAGCTTATATCTAAATGTGTTTACGGACTTAAAAGATATTCGAGACACATAATAAGTATTTCGCGAAGCATTCCATAAGCTGTCTCGTACGTTTTATTATGTGAAAAGATAAAGTGAGAGACGCACATAAAAATAATAAAAAAAAATCTGATTGTTATTGTTATTAGCTGATATTTTAAAATTTACAAATATTGGAAGTGTTTTCTACTGTTTCGTTACATAATCGTACATTTAAACAAGCAAATCACGTATCGAATATTTAATTTCTCGACACATGTAGCTTGAACTAATATTTTTATCCCCAATTCCAGACTTCATGTATTTGCTTATTACTTTGCCAATTTTTACAATCAACAATGCATACACATATGTGTTAATGGACAATTTAAAAGTGAAACTTCTTTTCTTACATCTGTTACCAACGAAGCACAAATAATTTAACTACTTCTGTTCATGAGCACACAACGAAAAACCTCCAGCAAGAGAGAAAATATTTTCTTTTGCTTGTGGATTAATTTTGAGTTATTCTTAATTCTTTGTGCTAAGTCCATAAATCTTTTTACACTCATTAAGAGTACAGGCCCGATTGCTAAAGCGCTTATGTTAGAGAAGGGAGAAAGGAATAAGAAATATTCACTTTGTGGCGTAGGCCATTAGCTCTCAGGAGGCGTGTGGGAATTGAAGCATCTTCATTTGTTTTTTTTCTTCTTATATAAAGCACTCTTTTTCCATTAACCCGCATAATAATAGCTCAGTAGTCTCAAGTTCATTACCGAAGCTCTTGGAGCGGTGCTAAACCCCCGCCGGTGAAATTTTATGCATTTTTTCACGACTTGGCAATGTTGAGGTGGAGGAAATATGTGAGAGGGGAGGAAGCGATGGTTTTATATTTCCTCACAAATTTATAGACTTCTACAGGTTTGACTAGGGGCTGGTAGCTTAATTAGATATTTCGAGCATGAATTTTAAGTGCTTTGAAAATTATGCAGGGATATGCCGCCGCTCCTCCAGCTTAGCTTTTAATTATCATACCTACATACATAATTTTCTTTGAATTCTTTCTTTCGACATGTAAGCTCTCTCAAATGCTATTCAAATTACACTTTGGATAATGTTTTCATGCTCAATTAGAATGAAAGAACAAAGAAAATAAAATTTTAAAGGAGCAAATCATTTTTCTAGCATTTTAACATCTGGGTTGGAATTGTAAGCGACACACGGTCACAAAATCATCTGCACATACGTTGCAATAGCACCATAAAGACGACTTAAAAGAAAATAACTTAAACACTTTATTCATCGCGTTGCTTAATGTTAATTTTCTTTTCATTATTGTGACTCTCACTTCTGATGCAATTGACTTGTATTCAAATTGCTTTTTCATGTTTTCTACCTTGTAACGATTTCTTCGCTTCAATATGAGCTTCGTCTGCAGATTGTAGTTTAAGTTGAAGATTCTTAAATGCCTACTGCTTCATTACAAAACATAATAACAAACGTGAATGAGATCGGGAAAGCGTATTAAGATGTGAAGTGTTTAGTGTGCTCAAAATAATATCGCTACATAATTCATGACTAATTTTGTCACAAGAAGACTAAACGCTATCAAACTTTCCCGACTTGTTATTACGTTTGTAATAGCAGCAGAAAAATTTCTTCTTTTCTTTTACCTTCTTCTTCTCATTCATTTCTTGTTCCGCTGTTTGAATGATAAAACTAAAACTAATGGTGGTTAGATACATAATAGACATTTGCAATTATACATGAAAGTCAAGCAGGTTGTTAAAATGACGACATTTCACTCTCGCTTTCAACGGCACGGCACACAAGCGATAGCTTAGTAAAGCTTTATCTTGATATTTATGTTACGTGAAGCGGGAAGAGAAATTGAACTTGAAATTATTAATAATTCATGTTCACATATACAACTCACATTAAAGTTTGAATTGTATGATACAAGAGACAAGCCATACATAATGTATGACCCAATAATTCCTGTTACTGCATTTTTTATGCATTTTCTTTTAAAAATTTTCTCAACAAAGTCTTAAAAGAGTCGAACTGAAGCATGTCGATGTGATAAATTTTAAATCATTTGGGTATCGTATCAACAATTCTGCAAAAACATAGAGCAATGGTTGTTCTGGTAATGTACATAAATGTATCGAGAATTCCTTAATGTGTGACTTAACATTCAGATCATTTATCTTGATCACATTGAATAAATATCTATCATTTCACCTTCACTCAATGTTCCCGGAAAAACAAGCTTCGTATGCAACTTTAAGTAATATTTATGTGTAACCGAGTCGTACGAGCCAAACCGACTTTCTCTGATGAAAGCGTAAATAGAATCAGCATCAGCTGCTACAAAAACAGCATTTTATGTTTTTTTATTTGCAAAATTTACCGCTTTTATTTTGTTTGCCATCCTCATTAAGTAGCTCTTCTCTCATGTAGATGGAATAGCATCGTTCATAGTGTTGAATTTACATTTTAATTATCTCTAGATATCTTCACTTCCCAAATAAACCCAAAGTCCGAAACGACGAAAACATTTTTTCATCCAATCACGTCTCCTGAATTGACTTTTCAGGTAGAAAAGAAGGAAATTTGAATATTTAATATTTTTTTCGTAGATATCTCGTCAAACTCTTTATGTACAACGTTGGGCCCATACTGTAAACAATAAACGGAAGAAAAGTCTTTTGTTCCGAAAAGATAAAAAAAAAACGAAAGAAAGAGAAAGAAAAAAGAAAATAAATACTTTTTCCATCATCATGAGTTTTGAAATTGCTCGGTTCATTTTACACAAGAAACTTAACTCGCGATTATAAATTTCTTCTCAGGTAAAAATAAAAGCGAAATTTAAATTTCACACCCACCCTCAACACGCCAACGCAATATCGTGTCATATTATTAGCTAGAATTGTAAGGTGAAACTATTTCACAAACCATTTTCATTTTACTTTATTTACAGCTGATAAAAAGTGGTCTGCTTTCAATTTCCGTTGCGAATCTTACGTAACAATATCTTCGACGACTTGCCGATGTTATATTTAGAAGATGATGAAGAAGAATAAAGAAAGAAAATGAAAACGAATGAAAGAGAAAAGACATTAAAAGACCTTGCACTGCCGATTGTTGTTTTTTTTCTTATTTGTTGATGTTAAACTTTCTCAAAGAGCCGCGTTTTCGTGCTCCATTGAATTGGTAACTCACAGTACCGATGACACATCAAAATTTAAAAAAATCGAAGCAGAAATAATATCATTTTGTGATCATCAGCAGTTCCTTAAATTCTTAATACAAACAGATGTTTTGACAACATATTTTACACCCCGTCACGATTGAATAAGCATCGGAAGCAAAGGCTCAGAACTCACCTAGAAATAGAAATTTTAATCCCATCATCACGCTTTCTGCTTTGAATAGAATGGTTTGTGACAAGCCCTCGAAGCTTTTTCCTATTTTTCCCTTTTTCACTCTTTCTCTCGCTCACTCACTCCTTCACTCTTTATCGTCTAATTCGATTATGAATCTTTTTCCAAAAATTTTAATCTCCGAAAGTGTTTTTAATCAGATTTCAATCAACATTTAGTAAATCAGCTTAAGCTTTCAATTTATTTTAATTGATATTTTCTTTTCTTTCTTTGATTTAAGCAACTTTAAAAACTAAGAAATTGTCTCGTTTTGACAATGTCGCACATTTCACATTCGCGTCATAGCGAAATTGTCTTTAAACTTTCTTGCTCTGTGCATTCAAAATTATTTAAATTTCAATATATATTTTTACGCTTCACAATCAAACATTAAACTGAGCCAACTGGCTTTACCGACAAGCAAGACTTGACTGAGAAGAAAGAAAAAAAGAAATTTTTAACAGCAACACCGCAAAAACTGCAAACATTATGAGTGGGAGAGAGAAAGATCGTTGATCGTGTTAAGATGTTTGATGGAATCTTGCATTGGATTAAATAAATACGTGCAATGTAAATTAATTGAAAGCATCTGTCATAAAAGTTTATAAGCAAGATTAAATTTTCCGAAAGTTTTCGTACATAAAATGTCAACATTACTCAATAATTAATTTAAGTAAAGAAATTTTATTGAAACACGACGAATTCATAAATTATAAGTTTGTTTCTTTTATGTTTTTCATAAAAACCTGCAGATGAGACTCAAGGTTGAGTCTGAAAGCCCCTGAAGGAGAATTAAACATGATGTATCATGAGAGAAGAGAAACTTTCCAACATTGCATAACGATCCAAGAAATTATTATAACGAATGTGTTCACGGAATTTCCACGATATAATTTGAGAGATTGTTCAATGAATTCGACACGTTAAGTTGAGCTGGTTTTTCCCCTCAGCAATCGTCTGAAGATCCGGCAATTCCAACACTCCACTCATTACTTTATGACGCAACTTTCGTACATGACCTCAATTTCATATTTTAAGCCTTCTTCTGCTCTTTGTTGTCAATTTTTAATGAATGAGTGAAAGAGAGTAAGTAAGAGTGAACTTTTGATGAATCATATCGTGAAGAAAGAAGAAGAAAAACTTAAATACATTGTCAGATTTACTTTATTTATTCACTATTTATTGTTCTTCTTCGTTCAAAATCAAAAGAAAAAAATTATTATACAAATGAAACTTTATAAGTAGTGACGACAAATTGATGCGAAATGAAATATTTAAGTTTTCTTTCAACATTCCCAAGAGACGACATCCAAAGGCAATCTGCAACATTTTATGTAATGAAATTTATTTAGTTGCTAAACATAGTTGTTAGAAGTACTAAAACGAAGGTTAAAAGCAAGTTCACTGCTATAATTTGTGCGCCAGCAGTATCTGAAATGCAATTCTCAACGTCTGTAAAGAGTTGGATGTAATTTTGTACACTTTGACTTAAAGCTGTATCGTTAGGTGAAACTAAACCCAACGATGAGTCTTCAAAAAGCAAATTTTTTTCGCCATTGAAAATGTTGTACATTTTAAAATCGGGATCGTTTTGTAAATATTTATCGAGCGATAAAAGAATGTTGATAATCGCAGTTTTTTTATCAGTGTTTCTTGGAACCACAACTTCACCATCAATGATTGTTGTTAAGAAACATCCTGGGTCGACATTAAAGCCAGGATTAGCAGCAAGTGAACCATTTCTGCAAAGAATTCTAAAATCATTCGGGTTAAAGCTCAAGTTTTGTGCATGTGCAGCTAAATTTTGATATTCAAGAACAGCAACTTCTCCAACTTCCTTCAAGCAAGTCAAAGCTCCACGAGTTCCATAAAATCTGTTTGAAGGAGCGGCAGCACAATTAATTGAACGATTCGGTATGAAAGATAGAATTTCTCCTTCTGAACCTTCAATTTCATTTTCTTCTGTAACTTCTTCAGGTTGAGGTTCTTCATCATCAATTAAAACATCAGCCATTGGTCTAATTGGTTGCATAGTTGTTGTTGGCATCACTAATTGAGTCTGACAAAGACTGCATAAACTTTCAGGATTTGAAACTGATGGATCATGGAAAACACTTCTGCTTCCAGGCAAACAACTATCATTGAAATACGATCCCAATAATTTACCAAAGTTGCAATCTTCTCGCTTGAAAATCCCACGATTTTTTGCGATGTTAATGAACTCAATTGAAGCTGTAAAAAGAAGCATTAATTATCTTTATCTCAATTTAATACTGTGTTGAATCATTGTAATGTATTTAATTTATGTGGAAAAGGTCATCTCAATATTTAATTACTAAATACTCACCAATTCCACCATATTCTGCGAAACATGCTTTCCTATCTCGAAAATCTTCAAATCTTGTAATTCTCTCTGCATCATGTTGATTGATTAATGCAACAACTGATGAATATTTCTCAAATTCTGTTTCTTCAAACAATGCAGCTGTGAGATTGTAAGGGCTGTTGATGATAGATAGAAACAAACAAGTGAAAGTTTTTAAACTATTTTGTTGAAAGTTTGAATTAAATTGTCACTTACTTTCTAGCTAAATATCCAAAGTTACTGTCAATGCCAACAAAATCAGCTTTGTTGGATGAAACATCGGAGATACATGAAACAGTGTCTGATCTTGGTTCATTACAAATGATTAGAGGTTGAATGCCAGTCGTTAAGGCAGCAGCCCTTAGAACCTCACATTTCTCTTTTTCGTCATATGAATGCGTACACCATCGAAGTGAATTAGCACAAACGTCAATTGCTACTGGCACTGCTCTAATCGGTGCAATGTAATCAGGTAGTTGTTGAATGTTTCTTACATTTACAACTTGACTGGAATCAGGTGTTAAAATTTGTCGAAGTGATGATTCCCAACCACTGTTTGATGTCATCCAACGATTGATAGTTGTTGACAAACCAATTGCTTTTTCATTGTTTGATACAATCAAGCTCCAAGGTTGGGATAGCCAGACACATGGATTGTTATTGTCCGCAATAGGTTGTAATGATCCATTTGGGCAAAGGAATGAATATTGAATGGCAATGTCGCTATTATCGTTAAAGAAATTTTGCGCTTCTTGCAGTGCAACATAAGTGACAGCATTGCCAGATTTGCGAAGACATTCGAGTGCTTGTCTGTGACTTGAACCTGTGAAAGCATCTCCATAAGTGCAATTCGATGGATGATCACATAAGGAACAAAGTTGTGGATATTTTTCCTTTAACATTCTATCTTCTTGTGGTTCATTTGACCACGAACCAGGTCGACATGCTGCATTAAAAATATTTGCTAAACCGGCTACTTCAAGTTCAGCTGGTGTTCGTCCATCACGTGTACAATTCTGACGAACTATTCTCCGTTCAAATTCCTTTAAAAATCTTTCTGTCCATCTTTGGTGACGCTCGTAATGAAGACCCGGATGACAATAATCATTATTTCGAAGGTTTTCAAGTCCACCGACATGATCGCTTCGTACAATGACAACTGATTGAAAATCAACAGGTTCAGTCAATCTTTCAATGTGTCTGATTTCCTTGATAACCGTTAAATCTCGCCAATCCAATGTTCCCAACAAATACGCGTTCTCTGCTGTTAAAACTCCGAACTCTGCTGTACCATTTCGAATTCTATGTGCACATTCAACGGCGTCTTGCGCGAAGACGCAATTAACTTCCGAATTTCCTCTAGCAAAGCAAGAATGGATTATTTTGGGGATAAATGAGATTATCTAAGCTTATCTACAAACCTCTGTAATTGATTACATTCATCGATGTGGCGAGAACTTGAGCAAACTCGATCTGGTGAATAATTAAAATTTAATCATTATTACTATTCTACCGAAAATCCGCTTTCGTCATGTTGTAAATATGAAACGCTACTTAATTCATTATTCATTGCTTGATGACTAATTTTCTAATGAACTTTCTCATTCGCTTTGTCATTTTCTGATAAAGACATTTTTGAAGACTTAAATTTGAAATGATTCGTGAGTTCGTTAATGAGAACCTTTGAAGCTCTACAATGCGAAGTATTTAATAAATATTTAAATGTAAACACTATAAAACCTATACGTGTGTGAAGTGCTTTTCTTCCTTCCTTCATCACAATGATATTTTCTTTCTTACACGTCGAATTCTTTTTATTTTATGATTTTGCAAAGATATGCTTAAATGCCGCATATGAGTAAAATTATTTATCATAAGGTAAACAACGAATAATATTCCGTCATTATCGACTTTCGTGATAAAAGTGATTAGATAAGCAACATTTTGAACCGTTTCTTGATATTGTCGTTGATTATAGAGACTAAAATTTATGTAATTTCTTATCACACGCCCAAAATTATGAAGATATTTTTAAAAGGAGAAAAAAACTTTAAAATCACCTTTCTGAAACTGTGCACTGCAAATATTGATAATCCACAAAAACGAAAGTGAGAAAATTATTTTTCTCATGATTTCTGATTATTCTAAAAAAATTATTCAGAACACAAAAAGTTAAATTATTTAAGTCGTGTACACACCAAGCCTGTAATAGAACTGAGCGGTTTTGATGAGAAGAGTATTGTTAGAGTCAAGAAAAACGATAACAATTTATCGCAAAGCGATAAGATAAGCAACTTGTAGCAGTGTTCACTATACTCCGCAATTTTCACTTTCAACTTTTCATGAAACTATAATTAAACATAACTTAAAGTCAGATTTTGTTCGCAAATAATTTTTTTTAAAAGAAATCTTTTTAAAGTTAAGGATAGCTTTATTTTCTTACTACGCTGATGACTCAATTTATTTATTTACGTTTCATCTAACACAATGATTAATTTTCTCAATATTATTCTTTATTAAATAATAATGTTTATTTAACGGTTTTGTAGAAATCAAATTTTCATATTTTGCTGAATTACAAAATTTGTCGTTTTATCCGGATTTTCATCCGAACGATCCATAGTCCGAAAGAAAACAAAAAAAATTAGAGGAATTGGTGGAAAAAATCATTCTGTGCATCAAATATCAACTGTTTGATCGTAACTTTTAAACTAAAATCTGAGTGATAAGTGTTAAGAAGTGTTCAAAGTGAATTTTGATTTCTGTAGTTACAATTAAGCATTTAAAAAGAGTTTTTCTTATAAAGCTTTCGTTTCCATCAATAAAAAGTGGTTTAAGTCGTAATTTAATTAACCTAAGACGATTTTAGCATACATTTCTTTGTGAATACCTCAAAAGTACACATGTGATTCTAAAAGCATCAATTTTCATCCATTTTATCATCTTGTAAGTAAGATTTTAGGCATTTTAAGTTCTACTTTTATTACGTTCTTTTCTCTTTGTTTATAATTATATCGATATTCACTTTTATTTATTTGTCTACTTGAAGCTTGTAAACAAAATTCTCTTCTATATTTTCTTAGCTTTTCACTAAATAACTCTAAATTAATTAATTAATGCTTCCTTTCAACATCTTGAATTCAAATTTGAGGTCAAGATTTGATTTATCTCTTTCCAAATTTGACACTATTTAAATTTTTACTAAATTTTTCATTCATTCAAGCGTCATTTTTTTACAGATTTCCGTTTGAAGCTTTAGCAGGATTTGATAAAGTTCTAACGATGAAAAATAAACTCTGAAAGACCCAAAACGAAATAGAAGAAAAATTGAAAAGTCAAATAAACACAAAAAATGCACCAACTAACTTACGCGTTATCCTTAGTTATCTTACTGGGGATAAGCGAATGCATCTGTGATGTTCTTGTTTACAGAGATTCGACAAATCAAGTATGTATTGTAATGAAGTAAATAAGTCGATGAAAATCTCATCAAGGTCTCTGGATTTCTGTAATGTTAACGTGATTAATGTTTGTAATGTTCTCCTTCACAGATCATTGACGAGTTTCCATCACTAGCCGCACGATTCGGTCCAAGCTTGCCACCAAATGGCATGAGAGTGCTTGCTGTTGGTGGAAGTCCTCCTGACGGATGCTCACCAATGGAAGACGCTCCTAAAGCAAATTTTTCCTTTCATGGCTTCGAACCGAAATTTGCTGCAATTATAATTCGAGGCACTTGTTCCTTTGCTGGTGAGAATTGAAAACGAAGCAAAAATGATTCATTTTCACAGATAACAATAACTTGACATGTATTTGTAGATAAAGTGCGACATGCTCAAAATGCAAGCTTCGATGCTGTTATCGTTTACAACAAGAATTCAAATGATTTGGAAATTATGTCAGCGTCCGATGATTCTGATATTTTTATTCCTTCAGTATTTGTCGGTCGAACTGGTGGTGACATTATCCTCGAAGAATATTTATATATAAATGGTTCGAAGATTAACACAAACAAAACAAATATAGATGTCAATGTAACAATTTTTATTTCTTTAAAGGATTTGCTCTCGTTCTCAATGATGATTTTCCCTTCAATATCAACACACATCTTATTATACCATTTTGTATTGTCGTGGGACTTTGCTTTATTATCATGGTGAGTCATTTTTACAACGACAAATGGAATGTGATTGATGAAACTTTTTTTGTTTTCTATTCTCATTAGTTTGGCTTCATGATAGCACGATGTGTGAGAGAAAGAAGAAGAGTTTTGCGTTATCGACTACCAACAAGTTCTTTAAAGAAACTTGAATCAAGACGTTTCACGAAGAATGAAATTTACGATACTTGTGCTATATGTTTGGATGATTATGAAGAAGGTGATAAATTAAGAATTCTTCCTTGTCGACATGGTAAGTTTAAATTTTAAAATTATTTAAATAAATATTAATTTTGATATCAATTGCAGCTTATCATACGAAATGCATTGATGTTTGGCTTACAAAGAATCGTCGCGTCTGTCCAGTTTGTAAAAGAAAAGTTTACACGATTGGCGAGAGGCGCAGAAATCGAAGAAGACATTCAGCTGATTCAACAACTGATTCGATGTCTTCTCATGACCCGGATGACAGAACGCCTTTGATTAACAATCAAGGGAACAACAACGTTAATCATGGAACGTTCAATGGTGAAATTCAGGAAAATGATCAATCTCGTGCTGAAGAAGGCAATGTTGGCACAGCAACAAATGCAGAAGCGGAAGAAGATGATGAGATTCTTGATGGAAATCAACGTTCTGCTTTCCAAAGATTTAACCCATTTGATCGCGTTCCAAATTTACCTCCACAGTTAGTGGATGAACTTGGTGCAAGTGTAAGAATTGAAGAACCTGAAAGTCGCTGGGAGAAATTCACGAGGTGATAACAAATTTAGGAATATATTTTTTTTTAATTATTAACTTTTATTTCTCTTCTTTAGATTCTTTAGTTTTAGACAACAACATCCATCAAATGATAACGACGATCCTCCGCTTCTTGATGCTTCAGCAGATGATGTTGACATTATCATAGAACCAAACGATAATCTCATCATTAATAGTATGTCTGGAAATAATATCCTTAATTCCAACTTAAGTGGCTCGTTCCGTAATGAAAGTAATTTACCAAATACTAATGATGATGATGATGCTGATGATGATGATGAAATATTGGATGGTCGTGAAAGAAGAAAAGTGCCAAGACGAAATCGTCGTAAACATCGTTCAGCACCGAATATCATGACAACAGATGATCAACCAAGCACGAGCTATGATATGCCACCATCATCCTCCATCAATTCATCACCAAGTAATCGATTAGGTGTTGCCGCTATTCCAAATATTCAATTCGATCCTTTTCGCTCGAATCGGAGAAATTAACAATTTTATTTAGAATTTTACTTTTGAATGTGATTGATGATTAAATTTTTCGAGTAAAGTAAATAATGATGATGATGGTAAATGATTTAGTCGTCGGTGCAGCTTCTTCAAGTCGATTTAAAACATATTTGTATAAATAAAAGTAAATAGCCCCGAAGTGTTTGACATTAAGGAAAATATTTCATTTATCATGATTAAAAAAAAAGAAACAAAGAAGCAACAAAAAACATTTTAAATTAAAAATTGCTTCGTATAAAACGCTACCTACAGATAGCAAAATTAATTAAATGTCATCCGATCCACAGTTGAAATCACTTTAAGTTCTTCAACATAGAACTGGATAAAAAATGAATAATTTATTGTGATTAGGGAATGAAAATATCAAAAAGAGAAGATTGAAAGTTTCTTTTAAAAGATTTTTCTTCTGATATGTGCACATAATCATGTTATTAATGAAAAATATTTTTTTGCAACAAAATGAAAAGAGAAGAGATTTTTTATTATTATTATTTTAACTTTGCCTTGAAGCTTCATTTATGTAATTGAGAAGAACGTGTTTGAAGACATTTTAATTTCTTTAACATCAATAAATATTGAAAGTCTTATGAATCATTGTTTGAAATTCTTTAAAGAGACAAAAATTATTATAAAAATTGATAAATAGTTGGAAAAAGTTTAAAACTTTGAAATAAATTGGAATTAATATATTAAACTTTATTCATTTTGTTTTTTAATTATTGTCGAGTGGGGCACAACGAGCAGGGTTGTGCTTTGACACTAACTTCAGTCAAAAGATTTAAATTGGCAAAAATCATAACCCTGTCGATGAACTTTCTGAGGAGTTTAATTCATTAAAAACACTTTAAATAATTTCGATAATTCAATTTATTTTCTAATTTTCATTTTGTGAATGTTAAAAAGAAAGAAAGAAAAGAGAACATAAAAGTTTCACCACCCACCACTTCCTAGGCAGTAAGCATGGCTTTGTAAGACGAGAGAAAGCAAATTGACCTTTAGGTGCTTTTTACATGGATTTTAATTAAATATTTTCTTACATTCTACGTAATAATTTACATTTCTATTGATTCCAAGAACAAAAAGTCTGAGATTCGTGACGTTTTCTGTTTTTCTTACTCGAATTATTTTCATGCTTTTTATTTATGTTCGTTGGGAAATTTTTTTCAGACTGTTTCATTGAATTTAATTATTAATTATATTTAGAAATGATAACGTTTCATTTTTCTCACTCTACCACGACTACTGATGCTCGGCTCGTCGTCTTCTTCATTTGAGCTTTGTTCATGTTCACTCGATTGTGATAAAATTCTTCGCTTTCTGGAGCGTGTTCCACGACCCAATTTCTCATCATCGCTGTCTTCGTTATGTTGACCTCGTCTTGGTCTTCTTAATGCTGTTGAACGACTACTCGATGGTCCAGCCTAACAAAATAAAAAATATTAATTTAAATAAATAAGAAATGAAACTGCTTCCAACCAACCTGTTCGTCATCAGAATAAAGAACTCTTTTAACTTGATTCACAGCATTTCCATTTCTCGTATTATGTTCATGAGTTTTCTTTGAACTTGAAGCAGCAACCAACTTCAATGGTGTTTTGTCATCTTCCGAATAACTGTCGCTATCATCTGAGTGCTCTTCTTCTTCTGTTACTTGATGTTGTTGTCGTGTCGTTCTTCCCCGTAAATTGTTGTGGTTTTGTTGACTTGATTGGAAATTCGCGCGACTCTCACCAATTTCATTCTCATCAACTTCAGCATCTTCGTTATAATTTAATGTGACACGAGCACGCATTGTGCGACGAATGCCATTAAGAGCTTCAAAGTTACTTGTCGGCGTTGGTGCTGCACGAAGATTAGCACGCCGTAGACGCAACAGTCGAGTATTTTGAACAGTTTGATTTAGTGGACTTTCCTCCAATCCACTGCGATCCAATTCGTCAGCATTTCTCTGATGACGAGATAAGATTGTACTTCGTGTTTGACGTGGCGGTGCTGCAACATTTCCTCCTGATGACGACGGTCCCGGTTCCCCATAATTATGATCATTGTTACGAGCTGACAAGCTTTGATTCTGTGAACTTCTCGTAGTTCTTGATGATGAAGCTTGAGTTAATGATCCTTGACTGCTCCTTCCACCATAGCGTGTCGTCGTAGCTGTTGAGTTGCCAAAACGATTACTCGATCGAATATTTGAGCTTGTACTTGGTAAGTTCTGTCGATGCCCGTCATGTGACTCTTCACTTCCATCATCGTCGTCATCATCGTCTTGTGAATGTGATTGAGAGTTTGACATTCGATATTGAGATCTGGCAGACTTTCTTGATGGCGCTGGTTTCATCTTTTTGTCATCTGTTTGATCGGAATCACTTCGAATGACTTTCTTTCTTCCTGATCGTCTTCGTGCTGCTCGTTTCTTTGATTGTGACGATGTTTGTGGTTTTTGATCGAAATCTTCGTCGTCATCGTCATTATCGTCTTCACTTGTTAACGCCCACTCAACAAACTTCTTCTTGCAACTTTCTCTTGTCGCTCGTGGCTTATCGGAATCTGAATCGGCAGTCTTTCGATGTGAATTCTCAACATGAAAGCTTTGATCACTTTCATATCTCTTCGGTCGTCGGCGAATTCTTTTCCCTTCATCGCCATTTTGGCTATTACGATTGGCGTTTCTTTCATCGTCAGAACTTGATTGGATTTGACGTTTCTTTGCATTTCGATTACTACTTCGACGTGATGTTGATGTTTGTGGCTCATGATTTGACGATTGTCCACTTTGACTCTCTTCACTTTCATTTTCAACATCTTCGGATTGAATTTTTTGTCTTTTTGTACTTCGAGAATTTTTCTTGGGACTAGAACTTGAGACTGTGCTACGTTTTAGTTTCGATTCCATTCTCTTCATAGATTTCGATATTTTATTTGCCTTCCCAAGATCAGCAAGCGGAATTCCACTTGATTCATCGCTATTGTCTGATGAGTCATCTGACGATGTTTCCGTCGTTTCTGACGCTTCATCTGGCGATGATTCAAGACGACGACGAGATCGTTTGCTTGACTTCGGTTTTGGGTTGCTACTGCTCGATACGCCATTTGATTGAGCTTGAACTCTTCGCGTTCTTCCATTTGTTTTTCCATGCTTCTCTCCATCATCATCATCATCATCGTCATCATCAGAATTATCCGTATGATGATTTTGTTGAGAAGTTGACGGACCACCACCAGTGCCATTACTTCTTGAAGGTCTTCCATTCTTTTTATTTTTTTTCGCAGGACTTTTTCGATTATCTTCACGTTTTTTAGACGACTTAAAATGTGATATTAAAGGCTTTACTTGCTCCTCAAATAATTCCGATATTCTCAACGTCATTGCATAAATCTAAATAAATAAAAAAGAAAAAAATGATTTTTAGTTTTAATAGAAACTTTTAATCTTTAATTAAACTTTAATCGGAATGAAAGTTAATGATATCTTCTTACCGTCACATTCTCCTACACGTCAATCATATTAACAATCAACATTGAAGCATGAATATAAAGTAAGAATATTATCGTAAATTTTATCCATTTAAAAAGCAGAAAAAAGAAAAGCTTTGATCTCGTTTTAATCTCTTTTTCATCAACAACAAATCTCAAAAACTCATAACAGATAAAATTTAATCATAATTTATATTCATGCATAAAAAGTTATCAGATGTTTGCTAATATTTGGATATTCATTTATGTATGTATGGATGGCAATTTCGAATAAATAAAGAAAGAATTTTACTCACTCTTGAGCGTTGGTTTGTGTTGTAACTTCGTGAATTCTGGAAGATTAGTCGCATGTCTTTAGCAAAGTCTATTGGAGTCTCATAATTTCCGCTAAGTAACTCTTCCTTGACTGTCTGCAAATCCATAGGAGCGTCGATGATTTGAAGATAATCTAAAGTAATAAACAGCCAGTTAATTAATAAGAAATTAATTAAATTATCTTTGCTAATCTTACCAGGAAATTGAACACAATCAACAGGCTGTCGAAATGGTTCCGAGTCATTATGATTCCAAATCATTTGAAGTAATTCTCGACACTGCATTCGCCAATCACCACTCGATGGTACGAGTCGCCGTGAACTTTAAAATAAAAGAGAATTTTAGTTGAAATTAAAAAGATTTTTAATAGAAATTTACCGTCTTGATCCTCCATTTAAAGCATTCGATGAACCAGCTGAAGCAGCAGCTCCAGAAGCACGACTGGTTGATGGTCCTGGTTGATTTTCATCTTCACTTGCTGACGATACATAAGTATCAAGAAATTGATGATAAACCGCTGGCACATCAACATCATTGTAATCTCTGTTTAATTAATACCTCAAATTACTCTTCAATTACAAAGAATTAATTAAATTAATTACCTTAAAATTTTCAAACATAAATCTGTGATGATTCTTGCATATTTCACGATGTTGCTGTGCTTCTCATTAAACTTTTCAGCATTTGTCGCTAAATATCGCACATCAAACTGAGCTGAAGTAATTCGACGATAAAAATGATTCTCAAATCTCGATTTAATTGTTGCAAGATCAATTGGATATTCAACCACAAAAGCGTATGTTGGATATGCATTAAGATCGACAGGTGTGAGAAAAGCTTCAGCAATTGCTAGTCCCATGACTTGCTCCAATCCAGCAACAATTCTTCGACATGAACCTTCACGATCACCTCTCGGCCATTCTTCCTTCTTTGGACGATAAAGTGTCGCTTGAATCTCTTCTGGAAGTACTGGCATTGACCCTCCAGGATTTGTTGGTGCACGATCTTCATCAATCGGCTCCATGTCCCATGGACTCATAAACTCATACTCCGAATTATCCCAACGAATCTTAAAGCACATAAATAATGAGTCTGGGAATTCGTTCTGTAACGCTTGATGACATTCAATCTCTCCCGACCACCATTTGTCGTCAATCATGCAACGAAAACGATCACCCGGTCCCCAATTCCGACTTATCGCCGTATCAAATGTTTGCTTCAACACAATAAAGTCGAGCACATCAGGAATGTCGTGATATTTAATCGTGAAATGTTTATTCGTCATATTACCATTATCAGTCATTAAAGCGAGCTTCAAACAACACAAACGTGGCGGACGAATTTCATATTTGATTCCAATGACTTTACAAAATTCATGTTCACGAAGTTCAAGTTGATGCCACGGCTCATATTTTCCACTTAATTGATAAAGCTTTTTGTTAGTAACACATTCAAAATATCGTTCATGGCCTTGTCGGAAGTAAACAACTTCATCGCCCATTTGAGGGTAGTATGGAGCCTTCTTGGGAATCACTTCGGAAAGCCATTCCGGTGGTTTGTATTCATCTGGAATCTCGCCGTTTGGTAATAGCGGAACTTTCTTCTTTCGATTTGGTCCCGGCTTTCTTCCTGTTGTGTTGCTATCTGAATCAGCTGGTGAAAATGTTCGTCGTTCGACGGGCTTTCTCTTCGATCGTTTTGGTGGTTGAAGTTTTTGTTGATCTTCGACATCAATCCAATCTGAGTATTCAGAACTGTCACTATCGGAACTTGACGATCCTGACAGTTCTAAATCTTCTTCGACAGCTGTTGAGTCGGAACTGTTCGATGTTTCACTTGATGATGAAATTACTTCTTCTTCGTCATCGATATGATGTCGTCTCGGTCGACCTGTCGCTGATATTCTTGATGTTGTTGTGCGATTATTATAGTTTGTTGTGTTGTAAGATCCACTTGCAGCAATAGCAACAACAGATGCAGAAGCAGACGTGCCAGGCTCGTTTTGATTTCTTTCACCAGCCATTCTTTGTCGTCTTCCACCACGACCAGCTTTCTTTGGTGGACCATTCATTGAACTACTACTTGGATTACTCGTGTTTATCATCAACGGTCTCTTCTTCATTTCACGTCGATATGCGTCTTGTTCTTGTATGCCAGCATTGTAAACAACTTGCTTCATCATATGAAGATTTGCATGCTTCACTGGCTTCACATACATGCGACGAGTATATTTAATGTTCTGATCACGAATTATACCATTCCCTGCTGCTGCTCTCCCTGATGATGATGGCGAATGTTGAACGACTGGAGCAAGACGTCCATTATTATTATTATTGTTAATGTTATTGTTATTATTATTATGTGATCCAATACTCTCACGACGTTGATTACGATTGTCATTAACATCACCATTTTGTTGATTATTTTGTCGATTCGCTAAAGCCTCTATAAGTAAGTCGATTTCAGAGCGAGCACCGCCACCACCGCCACCTTCAGCTTCAAAGCCTTCCCCAACGACACTATCAGGAATGAGTTGTTCACTTGGACAATTTTCCCTTCCAGGCACCAATTTCTGGACAATTGGCGGGTATGGATTTCCATCAACGTCAACAAGAAACGGTGGCGGCATCAAATGTGGAACTAACTGCGTTTGCTCATCAAGCACATAATAATTTGCATCTCGAATCAAAGGACGATAATCTGTGTGGAAAAATAATTCCTTTGGCATCGATTTCAATCGTGAATGTCCCGTTCCAAATCCAAACATTAGAATATGTCCATGTGAATCTGTTGCTGCTATGATTGTTCCATCTGGTGACCATTTAGCATCGAAAATTCCTCCATGTCCTTGTCCCTCAATCGTATTCACAAAGCTGGCAAGCTTTTCACCTTTGAAAATGTCCCAGAGAAAGAGTTGACCGTCATGGCCGGCAGAAAGGAGAACGTGCGGATCTTTTGGATGAGATTCAAGAACGTAAAGCTCATCAGTATGTCCTCGCAAGACATTATGAAGTTTTGCAGTCTTTGTGTTCCAAACTTTGATCGTATGATCATTCACAGCTGTCACAACCCAGTCATCAGAACGATCCCATGACACCATTGTAACTTTAAGTCCTTTCTTTGGATCAACGACTCCTTCGGATGGTGGGCATGTCGGTAATCGATCATTCATATTAAGCTTTTCAAGTTTCCACTGTTGTGTCTCAAATCGCCATAAAAGTGCTGTGCCGTCTTTTGATCCACTCACAAATCTTAGACCTGAATGAGCCCATTGAATGGAATCGACGGTGTCAGTGTGTGATTCAACTTCGAGAATTCTTTTCGGTCCACCTTCTTCTGACATTATGTAGACACGAACATGATGATCTGCTGAACCAGCTGCTAAAAATATTCCACCTGGTGAAAACGAAGCACAAATCATTTGAGCTTGTCCAGGTCGCAACTTCTCGTGATATTGTGTTGGTTTTGGTTGAAAAATTGGTTTTTGTCCTCGTGGTTGTGAATATTGCCAGAAAGCGACTGAACCATCCGTGCTTGTTGTTACAAGATATTTCAAATCATTCTTTGGATTAGGACAAAAGTTAACTGATGTGATCATTCCATTGTGTGCGCAGAGAACTGCAATGACACTTGCTGTTTGTAAATCCCACACACGAAGAACTCGATCGATGGATCCAGCAGCAAGCATCGTATTTTCAAGATTTATTGCTATATCAGTTATTTCTGCCGATGCACCACGAAATGTTGTAAGCAAACGTCCATCAATGGCACTCCAAAGCTTAACGAGTAAGTCATCGGCTCCCTTGAATCAAACCGAAAGAAGAAAAATTTAACACAAAATCAAAATAAATTGCAAATATGAAATTTCCTTACCGTCACGATATATTTTCCAGTTCTATCAAACAACACGCAATAAACGGCAGATAAATGTCCTAATGTTTGTCGAAGCAATGACGTTTTACTGTAGAAATTTGTCGGTATCGCTTGACGACGAACGAGTGGACCTGCAGATTGTCGTCCATGCAAAACATTTACAATGCTGTGATTGTTACTACGATTTAAAACATCAAATAATGGTGCACCATGAATTCTTGTACAATAACCGAGAGCATTGTGTGGTCTTGAGATGCTTTCTTTTGTTCTTAACAGGCTTTGTCGACCAGCACCAGTCAGTGAAATTAGTCCGGTTACTGTTGGCAGTAGTGAAGATTCTTGCTCCAAAAGCGTTGGAAGTCTTGAGCATATTTCCAGAAGATGTTGGGGTCCAATATGTCTGAATTTTGATGCCTGAAATAAGATGAAATTAACTTGTAATGAATTTGTAAAATAATAAAATTTGAAATATACAACAAGTACACATCAACGAACATATTTTCAAATGATGTGTAATTTCATCAGTGATCGAAACATAAATCTCGACTTGAAAGAAGACGATGGTTCCGATTTCGTAAAAAATAAGAAAATTAAATTAATTAAATTATTTAACAACACTTCATAACTTTCCTAAACAATGCTTCTTTTTGAACAATAACAAAATGATCATGACTTATATTCCAGAAAAAAAATTAATTATTTTTTAAATTTTAAATTTAGTTAATTAAATTAACTGCAAAAAATATCCTTTTTCATAAAATTAACGAAAATCATTGAAAAAAATTATGTCTAATAATTTGTGTCATCACTGAATAATATTTTCGTTTCTAAGAAAATGGCCGACTTCATGAAGTCATAGGCATAACATTCTTTCGATATGGTATAATAATCACGTCTTCACTCACTATAACTTATTAAATTTAATGATTTTGTCCAAGAAAACCTTTACTTTAAATTTTCGTCACCTTTTCTTTGCAAAAACTTAAAAATAATTGTGCGTAGATTATTTTAAGAATTTTCTTTCAGCGCTCACTTCAACTCTAATATTCGATTTATTTACAATCACTGATGCAAATTACGCGAAAAACACCACAGTTCGATGCAATTCTGTCTGGTAGCTGTCTGGACTTTGTATGGGAAATCCCTCGTATTATATATAAAAAAAGAGAATTCGTTCGAAAACGGATTTTTTTCTTCTCCTTCAACGAAAAACTCAAATATGGCGAAGAAATGACGAAAATATTTTCGTTGCTAAAAACTAACGAGTTTAATAGTTAAGCTTCTTTTAACACTGTTTGGAACATTCAAAGGACTTGTTTTGATGATTAATCATTTAATTATTATGAAATTAAAATTTTAAAGTGTCATTAAACTTTAAGACATTTCTCTTTAAATCGATAAAAATTTTCTTGATTTAATCTTAAAAGACAAATGTTGGGATCATCTGAAGGCAGGCCCCTAAACTGAAAGCAACGAAACAGTTAGGTTGACCACATAAAGAACAAGAGTAAATTATTTCAAGTGATTTTTCCAGAAAAAAATTTCACAATTTTCATAACAATTGCTGGGGATCCTTTTTAACGGATCGGAAACTGAGTCACTTCCAACAGTCAAAGTATCGTAAAACAATCAACAAGTTGCTTTTAGACAAAATTGCACTAACATTTTCTATTTTTATTCACTTCACTGGATCTTACCAATTCATCGAATCCTTGGCGATGGGTCTGACCTGTCCAATCCAAACGCTCCGGGAGTTCCTAAAAGAATATAAGAAATTATGAGCTGTATTTCTACACAACATTGTTCAATTATGAAGACGTTTTCCTAGGAGCATTGCGGAGGTCAAGAAACTTTTGTTGTTGTACTTCAACAACAATTTAATGTTTTGACAACTTAAAAGCACGTGAAAAACATCTGTGCGAGCTCCTAAGCAATATTTTGATTAAATTTTTGTTATTATTCGCTTTTACTCACTTGTAATTCCTGCAGTTTTTGAATAAAAGCCTGATGGCGTCAAAAAATAAGGTTAAAGTTAGTTGAGCTTAAAGATAATGTCTAAAGCTATCGTTTCTCACCTGAGCTACATCTTTGAAAGGTGAATTTAATAGAAATTTTGCAATAAGAAAATACAGCTCTGAAAAACGAATTGAAAAAATTCTCCATTATCATTTGAACTGACTGCACAAAAACGTAACACAAATCTAAAGATTTTCAAGAAAATTGAGCACACACCTGATTTAACTAATGTGTTTTCACTTCTATCTGTTATTTGCTCCATTCTTAACTAATTATTTGACTTGTTTTTATCCAAATTCCATGTGAAAATCTAATTTTTCTTCGCGAGCACAAAGTTTCTCCTTCTTTCTATATGTTTGTAAGTGATGTTACATGAATAATGCGTCAATATGATGCGAAGATTCGAAATTTTTTTAACGGTTTTTGTAAAATTAAGAAATATAATTTCTAAACTCGAAATTAATATTATTCCGTATAATTAAAACTCCCCCATAATAAGTGAATACTAATGTGGTAATCAAATAAATATAAATAAATGAGATTATGAAATAAAATTAGATTTTTGTTTTGCTTCATTTTTTGCGTCTTAAGTCACGTCCCGTAATAATTATTTTCTTTCGTGAAATAATTTGTAAAGTTAGAAAAACAACTTAATACACATAGAATGAGTTGGATAAGAGATGAAGAGTTGAGGCTAACATGGTATGAAAAACTTGCTGTAAATGTGATTAAACAAGGAGTAATTCCTCAGCATGTAGCAATAATTATGGGTATATGCATTTAAAATTAAATATTTCTATTTTAATCTTATCTCTCTTGTTATTGCAGACGGGAACAGACGATTTTCGGTCAAGAGTCATATTCAAAAAGCAGAAGGTCACAAAATGGGCTTTGAGAAGTTATCAGAAGCACTTCAATGGCAAGTGACTTGATTAAAAACAACAAACAATCAAAATTTCTTATATTTTCGTTTTTGTAAAATCTTCAGGTGTCTGGAACTTGAAATCAAAGAAGTTACAGTATATGCTTTTAGTATTGAAAATTTCAAACGTTCTCCAGAAGAAGTTGACACATTGATGACATTGGCACGTGAAAAATTTGCTAAAGTTATGGAAGAAAAAGATAAGCTAATGGAGAAAGGAGTAAAGCTTCAAGTCATTGGAAACATAAAACTCCTGCCAGAAGATCTTCAAAAGTCTATTGCTGATGCTGTTATTCTAACAAAAAATAACGAGAAATCTGTTCTCAATGTCGCTTTTGCTTACACATCTCGTGATGAAATCACAAATTCCATAAAAACAATTGCTGAAGGCATTAACGAGCAAGATTTGGAGGCTGATGATTTAAATCATTCCTTAATTGACCAATGTTTATACACTAGACAGTGTCGTGATGTAGACCTCCTAGTTCGAACCTCAGGAGAAATGAGATTCAGTGATTTTTTGCTTTGGCAGGTAAATTTGTCACCTTTGTGAAGTGAAAAGTATTTAAAATTTTTAATAATTTTAGACACAATCAACCGTGTTTTATTTCACTGAAGCTCTTTGGCCCGAGTTCACATTATGGCACTTACTTGCTGCTATATTCTATTATCAACGTTGCTACATTCGTACTAAAATATTAAAATCGTACTTCCAGGAGAAAACACCAACAATATCAGATAACAAGCGCGTCGTGAATTTCCTTTCGAAGGTTGACAAACAACGTTATCAAGAATTAGTGGAAATCCAAAAATCACGAGTTGTGTGACTAAACAGTTAATTTTTTTATTACAAAATTTGTTGATGAATATTAGAAGCTCGAGTTATTTAAATTAATTACTTAAAAATATAATAAATCTGAATCATCGATCAACATATCTCATTTTTATAAATATTGCATAAGCCGCAAAGTTTTCCTTTCATCACGGTTGGAAGAGAAATTGAAAGAAGATTCTGCATGTTGTATTGAATTTTAGCGTCGATCAGGAAGTTCTCAATCTCGACTATTAAATCGTCTTTGAAATGAACCCTGAAGCAAAGAAAAATTTTAATTAATGTTTAATGAAAAAGTTGAAATGAAATCTTACTTGAAATCACTTTGAAACGGAGGATATTCAAATGCAGATTCTTTTAAATCATAAGATTGATTGCCAAAAGTTATCAATGGTTGTCCCTCAGCTTTCATTGTAATGTAATGACCGCCAGTGTAAATCTTAACTTTTGAAAAGTTCTTTGAGTCGTCATTTAATTCAACAAACACTGCAAGTCGAGGAGAATCAGAACATTCACCGACAACAAGCAATTCCTTATTATTTGAATAATCCTTTTGTAATTTTTCATTTAGTTCTATAAATTTACTGGCAAAAGTGTTTAAGTTATTTTTATAAAGACTGCAAATGCTTGTCATCCCATAATCAACAGAAATTTGTTCCATGTTTCCGTAACTATTTTCATAACTTAATGGAAACATTGCTGTTATGTTGTTGATTGTGATATTTGTTTCTTCGCTTTCAATTGTTGGTAATTTCAATGAAAGCTCAAACTTCTCCGACACATTCAATTTGTCGATTCTTCCTGGAAGGACTGCTGAAAGAATATGATCGAATCTCGATGAGATATCGTAAAATTGTTCAGGCATCTGAAAGTATGATTAGTTATGACATAAATTCATTAACATGCTTGAATTTAAATACCCTTTCAAATGTCATATTTAAGTTGTAATCAGTGATGGCTAAAATGTTATTAAAATGATTCTTTTTACAGTTTGCAGATAGTAAAATCGGTGAAAACTTGACAATTTCTTTTGTACATTTATCTTCGTCCGGCAACAACAAATCTTCATACTTTTCTTTGGCATTTGCAGATGATCCAATCGACAATGCTATCTCAATCTTTGATTTATCGATAGGACACTTCTTTGATGAACCTTCCTGAATACCAAACACAATATTACTTGTCAACATAAACGGTTTCTTCAAATGTTCAGACTCTTCTAGTGATCCGGAGACACACAACTGAAATGGAAATAATTGTTTAAAAGAAGTTTCCTTTAGGGCTTCTTTCCAGGCGACATTGATAAATTAAAAACGGTCCCCAATGAATGATAAACGAAGTGGAAACAAAAGGGAGAAAAATCGATATGCGGTGCTACTTTTGTTGTTAACATTGAAATCTAAAATCGAATTACCATGTGACACTCTTTTCCGATAAAATGTTCAGTCGGTTGTTGGCAGTAACCATGGAGAAGTCAATTCAATGACAAGGATTTGTAATTCTTTCTTGCTAACTTTGCATTTAAAAGCTTAAAAATTTAGTTCTTGAATAAATATTTAAATAAATTTATAATCATGGATATAAATTGCATTGGAGTGAGTTGATAAGATGATAAAATGAGAAAATATTTAAATTTCTTATTTCAGATTGAAAGCAAACGTGATGGATTCCGAAAATATTTGGAATCGACTGGGATGACTGAGAAATTAACAACAGCTTTGATGAAACTTTATCAAGAAGAAGAGCGACCTGTCGATGCTGTTGGATATGTCAAGAACTTCCTTTCTCCTGGTGATTCAGAGAATTGCATAACACCGGAAAAATTTGAAGCTTTGCAAGCTGAAGTGGAGAAAGTTACAAAGGAACGTGACCGATTAACTTTAGATTTGGCAGAGGCAAAAGGTTCAATCAAGAAATCAGCAAGTGAAATCGATTTGGCTTTGACGAATTTATTTCGTGACTTTGATGAAGATGAATCAGGAAAGTCAATGTTGAAGGAATATTTAACTGAAGAATTGTTTCTGAAATTGAAAGGACTTCGAACGGATCTTCGTGGATATCTTTTGGATAACATTCAAAGTGGTTTAACACATTATGATCAAGAAATTGGAATATTTGCTTCAGATCAATATGCTTACGTCACATTTGGAGAACTTTTCAATCAGGTTTTAGAAGATCTTCATAATGTTGAAACACCTGAAGCTGATGAAGTTGAAGGTGAGGATAGTGAACTTCCTAAACCGATTGCACAACCAGATGTTGATTGGGGAGATGCTGAAGAGTTAAACGATCTCGATCCTGAAGGACTTTTCATCAAGTCGATTTCCATTTCTGTCAGTCGTTCATTTCATGGCATTCCATTCATGCCTACAATTCCACTTAATAAATTAAAAGAAATTGCAGAAAATTTGAATAAAATTCTTGTGACAATCACCGATGAAGAATTTCAAGGAAAATATTTCGATTTGGCTGAAATTGATAAGGAAATGAAGGAAAAATGGATTCAAGAAGGAATTTTGTTTCCAAATCCTGATGACAAATACTTAAAAGCAGCTGAAACTTATCGTTTCTGGCCATTACAGAGAGGAATGTTTCTCAACGACAAGGAAAACTTTCGTGTTTGGGTGAATGAAGAAGAACATCTTAAAATTACTGCATTCGAGGATGGATCGAATCTCCGTGAAGTTTTCAAACGTCTCGTCAAATCTTTGGAATATTTCAATGACTTAAAGTTTGCTCGTGATGAACGTTGGGGATTTGTTACTCACAATTTGAAGAATATCGGAAACACTCTTCAAATAACTGTCAAAGCAAAAATCCCAAAGCTGTCACTGCCAGAAAATAGCGAACAACTTGATGCATTTGCTACTGGAAACGACATCGCATTCAAAGATCTTGGCCTTGGTTTATTGGAATTGACAAGCAAGAAGCGAATGGGAATAACAGAAATTGAAACAGCCAAAGCATTCCAAAAAGGAATCGCTGAGATGATCACAGCCGAGAAGTGTTTGTACGCTTAAATTATGCAAGTTTAATCAACTCACCTTCCACTTTTCACTATTTCTTGATTTTCTATTTAATGACATTAACGCTTTGCTTATTTTGCTGTCTTTGAAAGTAGAATATTTCGATGTGAATTCCCATTTATGAAGCTGTTGTGGATGTGGATCATTAAAATCAAGTAAATGCAATAAAGTGCAATCAACTTTAATGACGTTTTTCTCTGGTGCTTTCGAGTTTTGTGAGAAATCTTCAGTTGTCCATCGTATGTTCACTTCAAGCTTTGAATTTGGTTCATTTGTTAATAAAATTGTTAAATGTTTATCACGTGAGATGTGAACAGATGTGAGTTGAATAATCGAAACGAGCGTGAGAATGTTTTGCATGATCGAATAAGGCGCTCGAGTGAAGACTTTTGCATTGTCAAGCACGTCAGTTTCGAATAGAAACAAAATATTCTCTTTTGATGATTCGACATTGTGACCAATTTTAATGTTGACTCCAATATCCTCCAAGTTTAGTTCGTGATTGGGGACACCGTTGGTTTCCTTCGTTACATGTCTTGTCCCAGCGAAATTTATTGTCCGAGATTTTAGTGCAAAACCCGATGTGAGTGAATCTTTCCGATATAATGAGAAACTAATTGAAGAACAATTATTAATTAATGAGTTTAATATTTGAATTTAATTGCTTTACGTCAATGATTTTTCTGCTAGATTCAGAATTATTTCATTGTTCAATGGAACATGAATGACGAAGCCTTGTTCACGAATTGTTGAATATTCAATGTTTTCCAATGGATTGTAGCTTCTGATTTTAGCAACTGCATATGATGAACATCTGAAAAAGAAGATTCTATAATTAAACTTCCTTTCATTCAACTTCCAATCCTACCGAAAATCGATTTGATTGTTTCGTACAATCTTTTCCTTAGCAAGATTTTGCAGAGTAGAACCACGCATGCTAGCAATAAGCGTACTCTCGATGAAAATGTCGGCTGGTGTACCAATCAATGTCGAAAATTTGTGCTTTATCATGAAAGGTCGTCTCACAATTTGCATCTGTGAAATGCGGAAAGGAAAGCGAAATGAAAGTAGATAAGAGAAATTAAATATTTTCATGTTAAAGACTCACGTTAATGTGACTGTCGGCACGTAGAAGAATATTAATGCGATTGATAACTGAATAAAATAAATTTTGTTTAATTGTTCTTTAAAATTTGGATGAGAAGCTTAACAGACTTACGGTCGCCTTCAGTGAGATTGTAGAAAGTTGTTTGATTCAAGTAAAAAGACAAAACAGATTTGCCTTCAAATTGAACAATAAATTCCAAATGTAAAGGAGTTGACTGAATTGGCTGCAATCTCATTAAAGTTAAAATCTTCGAGAGTTCTTCAAACTTCAATGCATCTGAGTTGAAATTGATGAATCGATCGAGAACAGCGTCAGAGAGTCCACGGGCTTTCACATAAATTCCAACTTGACCCGTGAATCTTCCTAATGCTTCAGTGTCAAACTTCACGAAAATGATCAAAGGCAAATCTTTCTTCCGATCTCCAATTAACAACGCTTGAAGCATCGAACCTAATTGAAACTTTCTATCTTTGTAGTCAAATATATAATTTCCAGTTATCCAATATTTCTTAAGTGGTTGTGATGGCAAATGTCGTCGCATGTAAACAATCAAGCGCTTAAGATGAGATAAACACGAATAAGTTGTTTCCGAAATACTTAAAACTGTCGTTCGATAAAAGTTTATCATGTGCGGACAATTTTCATTCTTAATAACATTGTAAAGTCCTAAAAGTCTACCAGCTGTTGGTGATGACACCATAAGCATTGTAAAAGCTGCCACTCTGAGTTGCAGTGGACTAGATTTGTTGTAGAAAATTGGCCAATAAGTTTCGAAAATCTGTGCAAAGAAAATTTAGTTAATTTAACTTTACAATTTATTGTAAATATTTCACCTCGTCAGGTCTCGTGTATGCTGTTGGCATTGTTGCAAAAATAGCCAAGAATCGAATGTCAGTCGTTTGTGAGTAATCTGCTTGAATTATTGGCTGCAGGTAATTCGCAACATTACCGAGTTGAAGATTTCCCATCGCTTCCAGGTAAAGCATTTGTTGCTCATAATCAAAGCTGTCTATAAAGATAACGAAAATTTATTAAGATATTCCTTAACTTAATTAATCGTCTTACTCAAGAAAAGATCAAAATAAATCTTCACATATTTCTCAAATTGATCTGCATTAATGGCCCCGGCAACGAATGCTTTGTAAATTATCGTAGCATAACTTAAAACTGCTGAATGTTTAACATCCGGTCGATCATTTCCAACGTGCAAGAATTCTTCACATTCTTTAACTAAATTTTCGGATAATTCAGATATGAAGAAAGGAAGAGAGATAAGAAGTTGCACAGCGGTTGTCGTTCGAACATGTTGCCCTATGACTAAATATTTTGTTAGCAACACAGAAGACGCGGTTCCAGCTCTGGGAAGGACTTCAAGGAAAATATTTCTCGACGTTTCTTGAATGTAAGACGTTCCAATATCAATTCGATCGTAAAGCTTCTTCAAAGTGTCATAATCCATCGTCTCAATTAATTTAACAATTTCAGAGATGTAATCATTGTAAGGTTCATCAAAATTCAATTGAACATCTTCAAGTCTTTCAGCCAGTAACGTGAGTAAATTAACAGCATTTTCTACAATTTCGTCGGAAGATTTCGGAGCACGACCACCTGTTGCTTCATTCGTTGGTGGCACGTACGTAAAATCACTTAAAATTGTTTTCTCCGTTTCATTAAACATAATTTTGTTATCTTCAGTGATTGACTCATGTGACGAGAGTTCCACCACAATTCTTGTGAAAATAAATTGTGGATAGTATGACTCAGTTGCTTGGACATTGCTTTTCGTCTCGGCTTTAATAGATTTGAGTAAATATTTTGAATTCTCAAGTCTTATCAATTTATATTCGCCTAATCTTGACGTCATTGCTGCAAGCGGTTGTTTTTCTTCACATAAATTCAAAGGAATGTTGGAACGAACCTCGAAGATTCCGCCTGGATAAGGACGACATCGATCCATGTCATAAATCTTGGATATCATTAACGTATCCGAATTATTCACAACATAATATTCAGTTTGACACAATCCATAAAGTCCAAATTCATTTGACACAAAAGCACCTTTCTGTGAATTTCCTTCGATTTGAAATAGACTTGAAAGGCCGCGTTTTATATTTGTCGACCACAATTGATCCTTTTTATAAAATTCAAGCACTTTCTGGGGATGTTGCATTAGGTAAGCCGAAGATTCTTCCTCGCTTAATGATTTTATTTTAAAAGGTTCCGTTAGTGGCTTAATTTCATTTGCATTCACATTCGTATCAGGATTAAATTGCATTGCAAGTGTGACTGCATCGACTCTTTGAACATTCAACACGCCTCGAATAGTCCAATGCGTCGGTTCATCCTCGCTTTTGTGTACGTCAGGAATGATCGTGACATTCGCCTCGATTTCATATTTGTGATTTATATTCAATTCGAAGATTTCGTAGCCACAACTCGGTCCACATTTCATAAAGACTGCAAAAAGTTCATTGAAATTCAAGATTGAAATATGAAATAAAAATTCTTATCAAGAACTCGTGAAAATAGTCGTAAAAAAACGTTCCTGAAATGACGCTTAATTAAAATGATGTCAGAATTCGGCAATTTTGTCTTGAGATAAGTAAATAATTAAAAATTTGATGAATTATTTCTAGAAATCAAATTTAAATTAATTTGCAAATTAATTTCGGTTGAAAGTCATTTAAGTAACACAAGCGAAAACAATTTCATGTGCTCTTGATGATAAAGAAGTGACCCGCAAAATTTTTTTCTCGCGTTAAATTCATTCATCAATGACGTTTCTAATGAAAAATGAAAAACGAAAGATTCGTCATGAGATTGTTGCTATCATAATTTAATTAATGACAAGAAAAATCAACGAATTGATAGAAACATTTGCTTTAATTTGACATTTCTTATGAACGCTTCCCAGGAACAAAAATTATCAGACAGCTTGTCGTGTCGTGTCGGTCGGTCGGTGCTGTTTTTGTTGTTGTTTTGAGGATTCAAAATGTCAATTTCTATTCAAAATTTGTTAAAACAATTATCTTCACATACTTAAACTCAGGATAACGAGTTTCACTCTCATCCTTAACACTTTTAAGAAAAAAATTTCCAATAATGACAACTTCCTGATAACGAACTTTTAAGGAGAAATATTCTACCGAACTTAATAGTACAACAGCTGATGAACGACTGAGAAAGAGAACTGAAATTATTTTGGAGGCATGTCAAAAGCTGATAAGAAGATGAGAGAATTTTCGACATTGCACATTTTCGTTCTTCAACTCTCATCACAAAGTTCGTTGGCTTTTAAATGCACGTTGAGAAAGGTCGTAAATGAAATGTTAAAAAGAAATTTCGGAAACGTTTATTAATCACATCTTTATTCTTCCAGAATAATTCTTTTCATTTCACAATCCCGAATCTGGTCTAAAGATGATCGGAAGTTTTCAATATCATTAAATAATTTTAAGAAATCTATAAATAAAATTGTAAGATCTTCAAAAGATTCTTCTGGAAATTTTCGAATCAATTTAATGATGTCAGAGAAGTAACTTTCACGTTGATCTTTCCCTTCGAGTGTTGGAATAATTAAATTCTGTGAAAGAAAAGAAAGTTAATTAAAATACTTGAAAATGTTTTCGATGAACTCACCTTAGAAACTTTTATGTAGTTCGAAATGCATTTGTGCAAGCAGTTTGATGAATCGCGATTCTTCGACTTGGCGACAATCACTGACACTACAATTAAAGCATCAATTATGAATGATTGTAGCAGTTGATTAGTCATCAACCATTTGAATTCTTTTGACGTACAACGCACGATTGTTTCACATAGAAAAGTTGTCACTTTGCTTTTAGCCATCTTTTCGAATCCTTCCGGATGGATAAAGTTCTCGAATGGTATAATTGACGCATTCTTTTCCAATGAAAGCTTTTGAAAGTAAAACTTTGTCGTTGCTTTATTATTTGTTATTTTTGATGAAATCCAAGTTTTGTCTTTCATCGAACCATGAACAAGAAGAGTTTTCATGAAATCTTGAATGACAGCAATTGACGTTTCAACAATGACTTCCTTTTGCTGAGTGAAACTTAAAAGATCCCAGCGATATTTATCAAGAATTTGAGCAAGAAGAATGATAAGTGGTGACATTAATTCTTCAACTTTCATACGTGTTGCAATTTGATTCAAAGTTTTAAGAAGAATTAAAACCACGTTCAAATGATCGTTGGTCATTGCTTGTGCTAAATTGTTCATAATCACATCGCGAATAAATTCTTTTCGATCAAATAAATTTAATTTGTATAATCCCAACAGAAACATGTGATACAACGATTTAGATGAAGAATCTGATGATAAACTTTCCAAATTCATTTTCACAAGATTCTTAACGTAGTCAACAGCGACTGAATTTGTTTCACTCAAAATGTTAAGTAAAATATTGATTTGAGTTGAGTCCTGATTTGTAACATCAGAGAAAAGAATTTGATAGAAACTTGTTGGATTAACTGCAAGCAATTTCCACATCGTTGATTCATCGATGTTGTTATCTGTTAATTTATTCTGATAATTCATCATTTTTGAAGAGTAATCGGCATTGCTTTCATTCATTTCTAAATTGTAATCAATTCCAAAAGAACGTATCATCAACTCGGTAAAATCTCTCAATTCCAATCCCACCAAATTTTGTCTTCCCAAAAACAAAATTTCTTTAATACGATTTTCATCTTCCGCGTCCATTTCTCCATAATTCTGATGATCTTGAATAATTCCAGAAAGATGTTTAAACTGAACAATATCAATGTTTTCAATTATTGTTTGTAAACATTCAGAGTTGCAATAAAGAGTGTCAGGTCGATCAAGAAGTTCTTCCAACCAAGCTCTTCTATCACAAGACGATTCAATCTTGCTTAGAACTGTTCCAACTGTAGCTTCACTTGTTACATCTTTCAAAGTCTTTGGCTTGATTGCAATGCTTTCAAGTTGCTTCACAACATCATGTTGGAAACATTCATTGTTGTTGATCAATTGAGTTAAATTGTAACTTAATACACCAACAGATTTTTGTAAGTTGTCGAGCTTCAAGTCTTCATTTTCCTTTGAATTATCTTCAATGTCAACTTCCACCCAATTCATAAAATCAAAAAGTGTTACATTCAATACACTATTCTGCAAAGTGTTCAACAATGCGACGTTAATATTCGACAGGCACTCGTTTATATGTGCTGGATAAGTTTGGTGGAAATTGTTGATTTCAGGTTCCATTTCCTCGAGCAATTTGAAAATATGAAACTCCTCGCTTATTACAAAAGGTTTCTTCTGGAACAATTTGAAACATTCATGAATCAATGATAGTTGACAATTTAAAGAATGTCCCATATATTTGCTTAACTTTGAATGTTTAAACGATTCATCCAAGTCTGGAGTGTTGTAATTTCTTAGCAAAGTCATCACATGATCTTCAAACATATTAAGAATTGTTTTCTGTTCAACTAGTTGAGTTGAAGCTGAGTGAGCTCTAAGTCTTGAATCCATTCGGCAAATGTTGAAATAAACAGCTTCTACGATACATTTCACTCGCTCTATTGTTTCATATGGTTTAGAAAATCTCAAACTATCGGCAGTCTCATCAAAAAATTGCAAAGGAAACCATGATGGTGAATATTTAATTGATTCATAGAAATATGTATCCAACTTTAACTTCCACAATAAATGAATCAATAAACATTTTGAAAGTTGAGCAAAATTATTCAAAAGATGACAAATTCTAAAATCTTCGGTCAAGTTATGAGGAAATTGAACGTCGGTGTTCAGCATTAACAGGAGAGTAACTTTGCGCAGTTTATTATTGAATTCCACATTGTACCATGAGTTTGAGAGAAAGACATTCTTCAACCTTTCAGCAACTTCATGAACATAAACTTCATTGCCTGTAAAATCAAAAACCGATGAATTTTAAGTTTGTTTGTTTACGATCTGATAAAGTTACCTCCATAATATTGAATTTTATCGAATTTCTTCACAAATTCGTTGCAATGATTCAATGTAGTTTGAACTATGCGAAAATCTTCTGAATATTCCATGTCATTGCTTTTTCTAAATGATTTTTATTAAAATAAGTTCGATTGTTTATGTTGATGCGTTTTTTCTTCTCGAAGAATTCCTTCCAGTGATTTCACACTCTCTACCTGACACTCGCCTCCCAGAAAGTTAGTTTCAGGTGGAGAGTGTGGAATCACTTGGAATTTCAGAAATCTCTTGGAATTTCTGCCCTTTTGCAGCACTTTGTATGAAAACTGGTTTTTCCGGTCCGCGGAAAAACTACCGAGACTACCTTCCTTGTTCAAAGGGAAGGAAATCTGCTGAAATCAAATATTTCAAATTTAATAAAACCGTTAAATTTTAACTTGACTCGAAAAAAAAATTTATTAAAATTTTCGCACAAATTTGGAGGAGCGGAATTAAAACTTTCCTTAAAATAATTGCTATTTTAAAAATTTTCTAAAGAAAGTGATGATGCTGTGCTTATAGCTTTGCGTGATTATATTAATTCAACCAAATCAAAGCAGTCAATTGCTGCATGTATCACATTCTTTCTTAGAAAATTACTAAATATCTTTGATAACTACATAAAAGTACAACATCGAAACAATTCACACTCTCGAGGCAACACTTTGATATTCAATCAAAATTAAAATTATGAAGTATTTCGTATATTCTCCACGTAGGCATTTGAGGAATTCAATTCAACATACCTTACAGGTAGTAAAGGTACAACTTGTAACATGCGTTGCACTTACTAATTCTTAACACATTCTCCATCTATTAAGTCGAATTAAAAATAAATTAAAGGAACTGCAAACACCAAACACCATTTGATAACTTATTTCTAACTTGCATTGGACAAAGAGGATTCCATTTAAATTCCTTCGATAAAAAAATTTCTTTAAAAAATAATTTAAGAAATCACTAAATTTTTCAAAATTCAGTCAATGATTCAGAAATATTAAGCACATTGATTTGAATGTATTTTCGATATTCATTTGCGAGTTAGGTAGAGTGGTGAAAAAGAAAAAAATTTGAAATGACATCTAAAAATTATTTACGACGTGTTTGGAGATCGCAAATATCACGTTTGTGAGGCTTCAATTTTAAGTATCTCTCCTTAGCTGCGAAATATTCAGAAATCCGAACATTGGCATAATTCTGAAAGAATTTTAAGTGTAATCAAATCAATCTTCTTCATGAAAATAAAATTAATGACGATACTTACCCAATACCCAAACTCAATATCTTGATTAATGTTGACAATGGCCCAAACTCCCCAAAACATATGAGACGCAAGTGTGAACAACGAAATTTCTTCAATCAATTTCTTTTTCTCTTCTTCCATAGTAAAATCACCAGAACGTCCTTTTAAGTAAACAGTTAAGAACTTGTCCATTTGGTTTGCATTAGGATATTTTTCCCTGATATGATAAAAGTAAGGAAACTTTTCGTTTGTGTAATCATAAGTCCATTCTAAATAGAAAAAGAATGATTTAGTTAATAAAATTAAATTTTCTGAAGAGTTTCTTACCTAGAAAATGATTTGCAATATCAAAAGCACGATAATTGTAGGCGCAATATTCAAAATCGATGATCATTAGTTCAGGATTTCCATTTTCCTTCTCAAAATCATCAATTTTATTTGGATTGACGATCGAATTGTTACTTTCGTCAAGTGATCGTTTACGCAAACAAGCTTTGTCGACAATTGACTGAGTTTTTTCAACGTCAGAGTTGGAAATTGCCATAGGACTCAAATCATTTAGAGATCTGATATCATTTCCTGATTCTGAAACATATGAAGACGTGTTCGGTAAAAAATTCTTCTCACGGAACAAAATATTCCCTTCTTGCAAATCATTATGACAGAAAACCACCGGATATGCTTCTGATTCTATAACAATGCGAAGCCATTGAACTTCTTTACGAAAATCAATTTGGCTGAGTTTCACTGAAAGATCTTCAGGACTTTCCATCATGTTGTTATTATTTTTGACATCCTTCATGATCGTGTCGAGATTATTAAGCCATCGATTCAATGTAAGAAACAACCAATCAGGCTCCTTAGAAACGGGAATATCTAAACTATGAATCTCACTCATTTTTTCAGCTATTTTCATAGAAATTTGATTGCAAGCTAGCTCGGAAGTTGTTAAAGCTCGTGCCTAAATTAATAAAAGTTTCATACAAGAATAATTAATTGATTTTAATGGTACTCACGGGAATGTATTGCTCGATTCTTCCACCAGGAAATATTCCATGAAGTTTTGGTCCTAATTGACGTTCACTCAGTAACGTGAATACTACAGATTCTGTCAACATTGTTTCTAAAGCGTGTTCTCCATGAGTTTGTCCATAAATTCTAAGCAGAACTGAACATGGTGTCGGTTCTATTAAGTTTTGGTTGTGATAGCTATCCTTTCGAGTTCGTTTTGATGTGATTGATCCACATGAATTATCATTGTTCGTTGTTGGTAGACTGACATAATATAAAAAGTTTGACAGTCCTCCGCTGATAATGATGGAATCATGAATTATTCAGTTATATTATTTAATTCAGTCATACCTTATTCTTTTCACTTGGATTTCTTCCGATGAGATTGTCTTCCAAGCGCCAGACAAATATTCACGACAAATCCTTGTAGCTACGTCTCTCATTTCGCTTTGAGATTTCGTAGCCTAACGAAGAACATTATTAAACAAGATTAGCAAGTTTAAGCTTTGAGAAATATATAATTTGTCATACATACAATATCAAATTTATGAAACAATTATAATGAAATAAAGCTTAAACTATAACTGAATAATAATGAAACGTAAAAGAACTTTCTCGAATGATTTATGAACTTTTGTTTTTACACTTTAAAAAAAACGTAATAATCACACAAAATATAATGAAGATAAATAACTAACTTTAGGAAGTTTTTATGTTTAATTCTAAGAATCACTTGGTTTCAAAAACCTTTTTTTTATGTCTTTTGTTAAATTACGTCTAACTTAAAACTCTGTCAGGATGGAAATGTTTTCATTGATTGCCAACTTTTATCAACCTTTTTCGCACTACGATGTAGGGAATTCATATGAGCATGCGTTGTGATAAATGAAAACATTGTATTCTCGTAAAATCTTTTACAATACACCATAGAAAAAGCACCACGTGAAGGGTTTATTATGTTCAATCTATTTATAAATAGCAGATTGTGAAACATTAAATAAATATTAGTTTCATCATTAAGGTGAAGTTAAATTGCGTTAGTTGAAGCCTTAAAGTCTTAAATATAATTCAGATCATTGCTTCATTACCACTAATAACTTTGATCTGTTCATTTTCAATAATCGCTATGCGCCAAATGCTAAATTCTCGTCTTATCCAACTTGGATTCTACTAAACAAAGAAAGAAGTCAGAATGTTTAATCTCGCTTTATATTGAACGTATTATTAAGAAACTCGTTGAGTCACTTTTTGTTTTGCCAATTAAAATTTCCATACATAATAAAATGAGTTGCAGATAAACATTAAACAGGTTTTCTTAAACTTCTGTTTTAGGAAAACCAAAACAAATATTTGGAGAATGATTTATGTAGCAAATAAAGTCGGTTATCTTTCAATGTTGATCCTGATGAAATAAGTTAGGTTCAAGTGCTCGCTTCATTCTTATTAAATTAAACAGTGTTGATAAGAGTAATCTTAATAATGATGAAATATTCCGCATATGAATTATGTCATGTTATAAATTCAATTTTTTTTAATGATATCCAAAGAAGAGATGTAAATAAAATTACATAAAACATTTTACCTTAATCAAACCACTCATTTTAATAAAATAAAGAATCAAAAATTTAGATAAAAAAATCACAAAAATTGAGGTAGAAAAAAATCGATTCTAAGAAAAAATATAATCATAAAGCACTCGTCAATTTCTACTCTATAATTTTTTAAATAGAATACTTCTTTACAAATTTGCAGAACAACCCTCTGAATAATCTCATTAACGTTTAATTTAAGAAAAAACTACTTTCGCTTAAGAGTTCCTTGCACTATTTACAAATTTCTATCTAACACAGATTTGCTAAACCTCCGACTTGCGAAACTTTTATCAGGCATAGGAAATCCTTTTAACCAAATTTTCAAATAATCTTAATCAGTTAAATGAATGTAAAAATTTTCACTTCGAAATAAAAGAACTGATTGAATTTTGTGAAATTTTATTATGAAACAAATCAATTCAGATATAATCAACAAGGAATTTAAATTATTCAATAAACTTGTAAGACTACATAAGAAATGAAGATTTATGATGCCTGATCGATGGTCCGATTTTTTTCTCTTCTTCTTTTAATGCAGATAAAAGTTTTGTGTTTATTTTCAAAGCTGTGTTTACTGCTAAATCGATTGAATTCTCTAAAGTTTCAGGGTGGAACGAGCCCGAGATGGTTTTAAGTAAAGTTACTTTATCTTGAGAAACTCCTATTACTATGCTTCCTGTGCTACAAATTTCTTCTTCTGTTGATGGGTCCACAACACATTGATCACCAATCCTACAGGTTGTTACCAAAAGAGGAGCTGACTCCACATTCAAACGATCGCAATCAAGAGGATCATCTGATAAAGTCAAATCAACATTTCCGCCATCCAGCAAAGCACTACTCACTCGAGGAATGCGTGTATTGAAAAGTGCACACTTGACAGCAAATGAAATGGCATCGTATAAGTTACCAGAACATTGTAATATTAAAATGTCAACGAATAATTTCCAACATTGATGCTTTGGAAGTATGCAAAGTGCCTTCAGATCAAAAGATTCTGCTGCAGAATAAGCAAGTCTTAAGCAGTTGGATATCTCAAGAGCAAGCTCTTCACCACCTCGTCCTTCAAAATCTAATAATGCATTAGCCGAGCAATCAACAAAAAAATCAATTTTCCCTTCATTTGGTCTGTTTGAAAGAGGAACATCAATTTCCGGTTTAATTCCAACTATGATATCTGAATTGGCAAGGCAAAATCTTGTTGAACCACTGGCACTAGTGATGACATTTGTCTCAAACTCCATGGGTCTATAATCTCGTCTACTTCTCCCATCATTTCGAAAGTCATCCTGTAAACATGTAAAATAATGAATGATGGAAATGCTTTTGTTGTCTTTTATAAGTTTACCTGCACACCATGAAGGATAAAAGTTTTTTCAGCTTCGCTTAAAGGATTGTAAGCCATTTTGTGATAACTTCGTTCAACTTTTCAGTTCTTGTTATTTTAAATGTTGATATTTCTTACAAATTATTTCATTCTGGAATGAAAATTTGTTCAACAATCTCTTTAAAGTTTTCGTTTTCGTTGATTTATATACACTCTCCATCTAAAACTGCACCCCCAGAAAGTTAGTTTCAGGTGGAGAGTGTGAGATCTCACGGAATTATGAAAATTCGTGGAATCATCTGGTTTTTCTGAGCGCTTTCTAGAAAGCTGAATTTCCGGTCTGCGGATAACTAGCTTATCCCCGGGTCACACACGCGTGCCCGGCCACGAAAAATAAACAAAAAGGGTGTCAAACTACTGTAAATATTCGTTTGAACACGTGCTGTCAGATTTTGAATCACTGATCAAATTACCATGCTTAACGAATTCGTTGAAAGAAACATTATCTATCGAGATAAATGTTTATGAAAATCTGTAAAAAATCAAGAAAAATCGTAAACAAATAATGAAAGAAATTATTATTTTTTTTCTTTTTATTCATTTTATTCTTAACATGTGAAACATGATAAAATTTAATATTTTGTAATTCTTGTACCTATCAAGAAATTACTTTTCAAGTTCTAATCCATCGACTTGAAGAACTCCAATGAAGCTGAGTAAATAGATCTGAAATAAGATAAAATAAACAAATTTTAATGTTATGTTATTCAATTAAAATAGGTCTAAAGGATTTTGATTTTAATCAGTTCCACGATATGTTTTTTTGCGTAGGATATGTGGGGAACAAATTCTCTTCACGACTTATCAAAGCGAGCTGAGTTTGGGGATCATCATAAAGAATAACTTGAAATTTTATGAGGGGAATAAATTCTCTTCACAATCAATCAAAGTTGAAAGACTTTGACGATCATCATAAAGAATCGAATTTTATTTTGAATTTCAATGTTTCTAACTTTAATATTTACCTTCAAATCTATCGAAAACATTTGTTTATTCAGAAATCTTCGATAACCTTCGACTTATCTGTAATTAAATAATTAAACTTGAATTAATTTAAGATTTACAGGATTCCTTATAGTGTAAATGCATAAATTTTGTCAGTTCCACGATATTTTTTTTGCGTAGGATATGTGGGGAACAAATTCTCTTCACGACTTATCAAAGCGAGCTGAGTTTGGGGATCATCATAAAACTAATAACTTGAAAGTTAATTAATTTTAATAATTACCTAATATCGGCTGGAAGAAGTCTTTGCATATAAGTGACCTGCAAATTA